ATATAATGAGGGGTGGCGCCAGCATCCCAACTTCTCTTGGGGCAGCAACACCACTAAGCCACCTGGTTTCCCAGCACCAGCAGGTGGCTTTCAGCAGAGGCAGCCCTACCAGGCTCGACAGGGGCCAGTTCCACAGCAGCAGCCCTACCAGCCTCGACAAGGGGCAATTCCAAAGCAGCAGCCCTACCAGCCTAGGCAAGGGCAACCCTTCCAGCAGCCCCAGCGCCAGTTTGCCGAGCCAGCAGCAGCTCCAGCTCCAGATACTCAGATGACGAAGCTGGAAAATATTCTGGCTTCATTCATGACGAGCACTCAGGCGACTATCACGAGGTTGGACCAGAGTGTAGCCTCACTGGAGGCAGGTCAGAGGAACCAGGGTGCCATTTTGCAGGATCTGCAGACCCAGGTGGGCATCTTGGCCCGCCAGAACACCACCAGGGCACCGGGGACTTTGCCTGCCACCACTGTCCCGAATCCTCGGGATCCTCACCAGCTCCAGAAGCTTGATGCCATCACTACCAGGAGTGTCAAGACCACATCAGCTGCTCCTGCCCAGCCTAGTCGAGATGATCCACTACCTGCTTCAACACTTCCAGCTGATACTGCAGACCTGGGGGAAGACACAATAACGCCTGCTCCCAAGCCACAGCCAGTGGTTAAGGAGCATGTACCCCAGCTTCCTTTCCCCACTCGCCTGCATAAAGACAGGCTGGAGACTGAGTTTGCCAAGTTCATGGCAATGTTGAAGCAGGTCAACATCAGCATGCCGTTCGTGGAGGATCTGTCAAAGATGCCCAAGTATGCCAAATTCATGAAGGACCTCCTCACCAACAAGAAGAAACTTGGGGATCTTTCGACAGTGATGCTGAGCGAGGAGTGTTCTGCCATCCTGCAGAACAAGCTGCCCGAGAAGCGAAAAGACCCAGGGAGTTTCACTATCCCTCTTGTTATTGGCAGCATGCATGTAGGAAAGTCCTTGGCGGACCTAGGCGCTAGCATAAATGTCATTCCTTATAATCTGTTTAATAAGCTAGGCCTAGGTGAACCTAGAACTACTAGGATGAGCATTCAGTTAGCTGATCGTTCTATCGTGCATCCTAGGGGTATCATTGAGGACTTGCTTGTTAATGTGGGTGCATTCACATATCCTATTGACTTTGTTATTTTGGATATAAATGAAGATGTGGATGTACCTTTGATTTTAGGTAGACCGTTTCTCGCCACCGCCAAGGTGCTTATTGATGTGCATAGTAGTAAATTGATTCTGCGTGCTGGTGATGAACATGCTACTTTTTCTGTGTATGAGAATGGGAAACACCCTCATTTGCATGATGACATAGACTAATGTGATATGCTTGCTGATTATGAGACCGCACTCGCTATCACGAGTGCGGGTACTGACGATGTTCTTGAGCGTTGTATTTTGCTAGGTGAGCAGGCATCGCAGGAGCCGCAGCTGGCGGAGCAGTTAGTCGAGTTGGAGAGTGGCACTTTCTTGGAGGGCGACAGGCTGTTTAAACCGATCTCATCCTCCACCCGCATCGCTACTTCCTTGGAGGAATCACCAGAGCTGGAGCTTAAGCCCCTCCCTCCTCATTTGGAGTATGCATTTCTCCAGGAGGGGAATAAGCTGCCAGTCATCATCAGCTCGACCCTCACCCCCGAGCCGAAGACCAGACTGGTGACCTTGCTGAAGCGGTACGAGCGAGCCCTCGCATGGAAGATCACAGACATCCGGGGGATCAGCCCTTCTTTCTGCTCCCACCGGATACTGATGGAGGATGAGATGCGGCCAGTGAGACAGCCGCAGAGGAGACTGACACCGAACCTGGAGGCTGTGGTTCGGGCAGAGATCGTGAAGCTGCTGGACGCGGGGATCATCTTCGCCATTTCCGACAGCGAGTGGGTCAGTCCCACCCAGGTGGTACCCAAAAAGGGTGGGATGACTGTGGTGCCTAACGATAAGAATGAGCTGATCCCGATGCGCACGGTGACTGGGTACCGTGTCTGCATTGATTACCGGCGTCTCAACGACGCCACTCGGAAGGACCACTTCCCGCTACCATTCATTGATCAGATGCTGGAGAGACTGGCGGGGCACGAGTTCTACTGTTTCCTGGATGGGATGTCCGGGTACTTCCAGATCTCGATTGCACCGGAGGACCAGGCGAAGACCACTTTCACCTGCCCCTTCGGCACCTTTGCATACCGGAGGATCCCATTCGGGCTATGCAATGCCCCGGCGACTTTTCAGCGATGCATGCTCGCTATCTTTGACCGTCTGGTCGGCGAGATTATGGAGGTGTTTATGGACAATTTCTCGGTTTATGGAGACTCATTCTCTCACTGTCTCCATAACCTAGAGCTTGTCCTTAGACGGTGTGAAGAAACGAACCTGGCACTGAGTTGGGAGAAGTGTCACTTCATGGTTCGAGAAGGCATAGTTCTTGGGCATAAGATCTCTAAGATGGGGATTGAGGTGGACAGAGCAAAGATCGAGACTATCAGCAAACTGCCTCCTCCTACATCTGTTAAGGGAATCCGGAGTTTTCTTGGTCATGCAGGTTTCTACAGGCGGTTCATCAAGGATTTCTCTAAGATTGCTCTGCCCCTGACGAAGCTTCTAGAGAAGGATGCCCCCTTCCAGTTCACTGATGCATGCAAAGCGGCTTTCATGACCTTGAAGGAGAAGCTCACCCAAGCTCCTATCATGGTTGTTCCTGACTGGTCCTTACCATTTGAGATTATGTGCGATGCCAGTGACTTTGCTGTTGGAGCTGTGTTGGGGCAGAGGCGTGATCAGCATTTCCGACCCATCTACTACTCCTTGAAGACCTTGAATGTTGCCCAGGAGAACTACACCACCACGGAGAAAGAGCTGCTCGCAGTGGTGTTTGCCTTCGATAAATTTCGCCCCTATCTGGTCTTGTCCCATGTGGTTGTGTATACTGATCACTCCGCGATTCGATACTTGATGAGCAAGGCTGATGCCAAGCCTAGGCTCATACGGTGGATCTTACTGCTGCAGGAGTTTGATATTGAGATTCGGGACAAGAAGGGAGCAGAGAATGTTGCTGCCGATCACCTCTCCCGGTTGGACGCACCCCCTGCGGACAACCTCAAGGAGGAGATCAATGACTCCTTTCCAGATGAGAGACAAATGATGATGTGCCTGGTGGAGAGTGTCACCCCCTGGTATTCTGATTTTGCAAATTATCTTGTGGGCCAGCAGCTGCCCAAGGGGATGCCAACTCACGCCAAGAGGAAGTTTTTCTCCGACCTGAAGTACTACTTCTGGGATGACCCTCATCTCTTCAGGATCGGAGCCGACGGGATAATCCGTTGATGTGTTATGGAGAGTGAGATGGAGGGCATTCTATATCACTTTCATGAAGGACCTGCTGGCGGTCACCACGGAGGAAACCGCACGGCAAGGAAGGTGCTCCAGTCGGGCTTTTACTGGCCCACGCTCTTCAAGGACGCAGACGCCTTCGCACGCAGGTGCGACCGATGCCAGAGGTCAGGTAACATCTCTGCCCGTGATGAGATGCCCCAGAATGTGTTTATTACTGGTGAGATTTTTGATGTCTGGGGTATCGACTTCATGGGGCCCTTCCCTCCATCCTTTGGTAATACATATATCCTTGTTGCTGTTGACTACGTCTCTAGGTGGGCCGAGGCGCAAGCTTTGCCCACTAATGATGCTAGACGTGTTTGTGGTTTTTTGAAGCAGCTATTCTCCCGGTTCGGGAAACCTAGAGCCATCATAAGCGACCGAGGCACCCATTTCCAGGGTCAGTTCGATAAATTGTTGTCTCGCTATGGTGTAACTCATAAGGTGTCCGTGGCCTATCATCCTCAAACCAGTGGCCAGGCCAAGCTGACGAACCGGGAGCTCAAGCGGATCTTGGAGAAGACGGTGAACCTATCCCGCAAAATTGGTCCACCAAGCTCGATGATGCTCTGTGGGCATATCGCACTGCCTACAAGACGCCCATTGGTACCTCACCGTACCGGCTTGTCTATGGAAAGGCATGCCATTTGCCCGTGGAGCTAGAGCACAAGGCCTTCTGGGCCCTTAAGCTGCTAAACTTGGATGTTAGTGTTGCAGGTGATGAGCGAAAAATGCAGATGTTGGAGCTGGAAGAGTGGCGTTATCACGCCTATGAGAACACCAAACTGTACAAGGAGCGCACGAAGCGTCTCCACGATGCACGGTTGCGGGGTCCGAAAGAGTTCCAGGTTGGTGATCGAGTTCTCCTTTATAACTCTTGCCTGAAACTCTTTCCTGGAAAACTCCGTTCCCGGTGGTCTGGACCGTACACGGTCACACAGGTGTTCCCGTATGGCACGATTGAGATTGCTAACCCGCAAACTGAGCCGTTTAAAGTGAATGGCCATCGTCTCAAGCTCTACCTGGGAGACGATGTCGAACGTGCGGAGTTAGCAGTGGAGCTCGCGGACCCTTAGTTCCGCAATTGGCGTCCAGCTAAAAGACGGTAAAGAAGCGCTTGTGGGGAGGCAACCCCACCACGGTTTGCATTTCTACCTTTGTTTTTTTTATTTATTTATCTCAACTTTGTCGGTTTTTGAGTCTTTAAGTCAGTTTGGAGTCAGTCTGGAAAGTTTTTCGTGCCTCGGGCGGTTCGTTTTGATGTGTGATTGGGTAGATTTTAGAGTCGGGGCACGAAAGAATCTTGGTGGTTTGAGCTTTAAAATTGACAAAAATGCATTTCAGGCTCGGCATAAAAAACACGGGCAGCAGGGGGACAGAACACGGCCGTGTTTCTCCCCGTGCCCGCCCGTGTTTTGCCTTTAGCTCTCGGCATAAAAAACACGGGCACTGGGCTCTGAAAACACGGCCGTGTTTTGATCAGAGCCCGGCCGTGTTTTGATGGGGGAAAACACGGGCGCGGAGCACCCGAAACACGGCCGTGTAATGGCCCGCCCGTGTTTCGGCCTCCCCCCTATAAAATCAAATTTTTTTCACCCCCAAACTCAGATCAGTCATTTTTTCAAAAACCCCCAGCCCCCCCTCGCCGGAAAATCGCCCCTTTCATCTTCTCCCTCGATTTTCCGGCCATAACTCCCTCTCCCGACCTCCAAATCACAATCCGCGAGCGCCCCCACGCTCCTGGCGTCGAGGAGCACATTCCCCAACGATTTGGGCTAGTTTGGCTGAGGTTGGGCCGCCGGCGGCGAGTTTTCCGGCGAGTCTCCGGTGTGTTTTCCAGCGACTTTGGGTGCTTCTCTCCACTTTCTTCCTCTCTCTCGCGGTATCTTCTTGAGTCTCCAGGTGTGTTCTCCGTGTCTTTTCTTATCTTTTTGGAGAATCGATACCTAGAGTTAGGTGAAGAACTTTTGACTGTGGAATGCATGGTTTGGGGAATATTTTGGGTTTGGGGGATGATTGGGCTGATTGCTTGGTGAATGGGCTGCGTGATATGTAATTTTTCTGTGATGCCTCGATTGGTGCTATTTAGGACAGTTGTGGTATGTTTGTCTCACTGGGGGCCTCGTCCACTATCCGAATCGCTCGATTTGAGGGTCCTCGGTGTATTCAGCTGGTATTTCTCGTATGATGGGTATGCTTGTGTCGCCGGGAGTCTAGTCCACTGTCCATATCTTCCGATATGAGGACTCCCGGTGTGGTTTTGGTCTAACATTGACCCCGTTTGCTTGTGTACCCTTTGTCCTTCATTGTGTTTTGCAGGATCATGGAGGATTATCTCGACCAGCTGAACATTATCCAGCGCCATAAGCTGCGGAACCTCCGCACCTGCAGCATCCCCGAGCACCACCACCTCGATTGGGAGGTGTTCGAGGAGCTTCATGCCAGGCCACAGATGGAGGCTGCGGTCCGCTCCCCTGCTTGGCGGCGTCTTCTCACCCTCACCGAGCCGACCTACAAGGAACTGGTCTTGGAGTTCTACGCCACCTTCACCCACAATCAGAGGGGGAACTCCGATCACTCTAATGTAGTCCAGTTCACACTCGGCGGGGTGGAGCACTCCCTCAGCTACTGGGAGTTCGCCAATGCACTTCGCCTCAACTCCCGGGAAGCTGGTGGGCCGCCTCTCCGCCTAGATCTCGCTGATCCCACGGACTTCGCTTCTTAGGCGTACTTTCAGACCATCTGTCTGCCCGACAGTGTGGATGAACAGTACGTGGCCAGCCAGACGCGGGCTTCTCTCCTCCGTCCAGAGTGGCGGATCCTCAACCACCTGATGTGCACTTCCTACACACCTAGCGCAGGCTCGGCCAACCGGGTCACGCTCCGCACACTCTGGTTGATGCATGCGATGGGTCGTTCTGAGGACACCATCCAGCTGGGCTCTGTACTGGCGAGGACATTCACTAAACCAGCTGATAGACCGTCATTTACACATGTTTTTACCCCCGTTCTTACACCGTTTGAGGTGTTGATTCTCGTGTTTTAGGCCGATTTCACGCTAGGTTGTGCTTGTTTGTGATATTTCAGGTCCTAGTACGTGAATGAAGGCTTAGGAGCGAGTCTGGGGTCGATTGGACGAAGAACGGACGAATGGCGAGGTTTTCAGGGAGCTGCACGGGCAGACCAGGGAGGCTGCACGGCCGTGCACGGTTGCAAGCTGGCCGTGCGCCTCATGCCGAGGAGCTGCACGGGCAGGCCCTGAGGATTGCACGGCCGTGCACCTGGCCGTGCAAGAAGCCTGAGTTCAATTAAGGGATACGCTGCGTTTCATGGTGCACGGCCAGAATGGTGAGGTGCACGGCCGTGCACCCTGGCCGTGCAACTCGGGAAAACCCGGTTTTAAAGCCTAATCCGAGCCAGAAGTGAGAGAAGAGTGTTTTCAGAGCAAAAACAGAGCCCTAGAGAGAGAAAGTACGAAGAACACATCCTAGAAGCTGTCTTAGAGCTGGATTTCATCGAATCGAGCCTGGAGATCGTCATAGGAGTGAAAATCATCGTCCCGGAGCAGATTATCCTCATCGTTATGAGTATGACTAATCCGATTCTTGTTTTCTCTTCTCTCTCTATGGAGTAGAACCCTTCTCTCACTTGGGGATGAAGAACCCTAGTTCTATGTGTTAGGGATTGATTGTAATGACTTGGGATGATATTACTGTTTGGTTTTAATCGATTGAGACATGCTTGATTGAGTCAATTGAATCTTGATCAAATTCTCTTGATTTCTGCTTTAACCTATGATAGATAGAATCTGATTAGGTTAAGAGAGCTTCCTTGATTGATAGTGGTGAATTGGTTGTGCGAGAGTCAATCAATTTACTGCTTTGTACTGGAATCTAATTCCAGTAGTGAATTTCTGTTCTTACTGCTTCAGCTTTCTATCCCGGTGAAGACTAGTCGTCTGCCGGGTAGTTAGACTGAGAGGGCTTGGTCAGCTTAAGAGATTCCAAGCTACTGCCGGATCTTCCGCAGTCTAATCAACAGTAAATCAACCCAGGGTAAATTGCAATTGAAACCTAACTAAAGAGCTAGGGGGATTCATTCCCGAGTGACTCTTTCCTGCTTAAGAAAACCGATTAATTTCCTGCTTTATTTCTGCTTTTAGTTTAAACAACAATCACTTACTCTAGTTGGCTAGATAACAGAGAATCACTGAGTAAGCAGTAGATCTAGACCCCGGGTTGATAATATAACTTGCCTGTTACTGCATTCCCGGTCTGCGATTACACTTGGTCGCAGATTGGTGTTGTGTTTTGGCGTGTCAAGTTTTTGGCGCCGTTGCCGGGGAACCCTCTAGGTTATTGGGGAAACGTGAGAATTTGTTACTCTAGCTTTTATTTTCTGCTTTTTATTTCTTCCACCTGTGTGCCTTCACGGGTTGTTTCTGCTGATTGTGTGCAGGTAGTGCATGACCCGTAGCCAGTCGGGAGATCTACTACCACTAGACCAGGAGCTTGAACGAACCTGCAGAAACTTCAAGCGGGCTCTAAAGGCGCGACTGGCTGCGGAGGAGGCGCTATCACAGCTGCAGTTAGAGGAGGAAGAAGAAGAGATGGCTGAACCAGGGAACCATGCTGTGATCCCCGAGGAGCAGACCATGGGCTCCTACTGGACCGCTAGGGCTGCGGACATGAGGTCACCCATTCAGCACCCTCAGGTCCCAGCCAACAACTTTGAGGTGAGCACCTCCGTGATCACCATGCTGCGCGGTTCAGTAGTGTTCCGTGGTAAGGAGGGAGAGTGCCCTCGATCACATCTCAGGCGATTCCACGAGCTCATCGATGGAATCAAGATCAATGGGGTACCAGCAGATGCCATCCAGCTGAGGTACTTCCCATTCACTCTGGAGGGGCAGGCCAAGGAGTGGCTAGACACTCGATCTCCGGGCTCCATCACCACGTTCGCCAACCTGGCGGACAAGTTCCTCACCCGCTACCATCCTCCATCCAAGACAGCTGACCTGCAGAAGCAAATTACACATTTTGCTCAGGATGAGGATGAGACCATCAGGGATGCATGGGAGAGGTACAACAGTCTTTTCCTCAGGTGTCCCAATCATGGTTTCAACGATGCGTTCAAGGTGGGCACCTTCTATCACGCCCTCTTCCCGGAGGACAAGCAGCTGATCGATTCGGTTTGTGGCGGGAACATGCTGACCAAAACCCCGCCACAGCTGAATCAACTCTTTGAAGAGATGGCGGAGAATGGTTATGATTGGGGCACTGCCAGGAGATCGAGGAGAGCACCAGGCCGGGGTGTGCATGCTGTGGGCACCCAGTCCTCCGATTTGGTGCAGGTAGTATCGAAGCTGGTCTCAGCTATCGATTGTTCCGGGATGATTCCAGGGACCGGACAGCAGCAGGCGATGCTCTGCCAGTGGTGCGAGAGCACCCATCATATGGTGGAAGACTGCCAGGCGATGAAGGAATCGACCACACCCCAGGAGCAGGTGAACTTCATCAACAATGTCAGGCGCAATGACCCCTACAGCAACACGTACAATGAGGGGTGGCGCCAGCATCCTAACTTCTCCTGGGCTGGGCCAAATCCCAGACCACCAGCTCCACAGGGACCACCGGGCTTCCAGAGGCCACCATATCAGCCCAGACAGGGGCAATTCCAGCAGCCAGGTGCAGCCCCTGCTGCCCCAGTGCAGAATGATCAGATGGCTGAACTGCGGGACTTGGTGGGTTCTCTTGCCAGTGTTAGTGCTCAGAAATTCAACACCTTTGAGCAATTCATGAAGAAGGCCTCGGGTCAACTCCTGGCTCTGGAAGCTGGTCAGAGGAATACACGGGCTGTTTTGCAGGATATCCAGACCCAGCTGGGGAGCGTGGCCCAGGCAGTGGCTCAAAGGGCTCCTGGTACTCTACCAGGGCAGACCATCCCTCACCCGCCGACCCCGAATGAGCGCTGCAATGCCATCATGACCAGGAGTGGCAAGATGACTGTTGATCCCCCTGCTCGGGAACCGGAGAAAGAAAGCCCTGTCTTAGCGGCTTCAGCGGTTGAACAGGAAGTAGAGAAGGAAGTTGAGGTGCCTGCACCTAAACCGCAACCAGTAGTGAAGGAGTATGTCCCTAAACTCCCTTTCCCTACTCGGTTGCACAAAGACAGGCTGGAGGCAGAGTTCGAGAACTTCATGGCCATGCTTAAGAAGCTGAATGTCCAAGTGCCCTTCCTGGAGGCACTATCGCAAATGCCAAAGTATGCGAAGTTTCTGAAAGAGCTTCTCTCAAAGAAGCAGAAGCTGAGTGAGCTGGCCACGGTAGAGCTCAGCGAGGAATGCTCGGCTATTCTGCAAAACAAGCTTCCGCAGAAGAAGAAGGACCCAGGTAGTTTTACTATCCCGTGCTCTATTGATAAATTGCATGTAGAGAAGTCCTTGGCGGATTTAGGTGCTAGTATCAATGTTATTCCATATAAATTGTTCATGAAACTAGGCCTAGGTGAACCCCGTGCTACTAGGATGACCCTTCAATTAGCTGACAGATCTGTAGTGCATCCTAGGGGTATAGTGGAAGACCTTCTGGTTAAGGTTGGCAAATTCACATATCCCGTGGATTTTGTTATCTTGGACATCAGTGAGGACACAGAAGTGCCTCTTATACTGGGAAGGCCTTTCCTGGCCACCGCCAAGGCTCTCATAGATGTGCATGATGGGACCTTAGTTTTGAGGGATGGCGAGGAGCGAATAACGTTTTCTGTTGCTGATACTATACCTGCTTCGTCACCTCTGCATGCTGTATCTCACCAGGAGCACGAGTCTGTCGTGTATCCTTCTGTGCTGCCTATTTTGCAGGAACCGCCTCCCACACCTTCGCCGCCACTCCGGACCACTCCGTCACCCAAAGAACAGATCAAGGAGGAGTGGCGGCCGAAACTGCAGGCAGCTAAGCCTGCTCGAAAGGAAGCCGGAGACCACTATGAGCTGGTCCCGCCCCCTCCTTGGCCATCCGAGTATTCACTCGCTTGCATCCTACCGGATGGCCAAGTTGAGCTGGCGAATGCAGGTGGCCACATTCGTCGCGTGCATGGCCACCATTTGAAGCTGTACCTCAAGAGCGATGTGGATCCGCTCTTGAAGGCACCTGATCCTACACTTCCCTGAGCATCCATACTGGCGTCCAGCTAAAAGACGGTAAAGAAGCGCTTGTGGGGAGGCAACCCCACCGAGGTTTGCATTTTCTTACTCTTTTTCCTTTGATTTTGTGTGTTTTTGAGTCTTGGGACGTTGATCCAGAGTTACGTGTCGTTTTTGAGCGAAAACAGGTTGATTTCGCGACTCCAACAAGTCGCACGGCCAGGACCACAACTTGCACGGCCGTGCGGGAACCCCCCTTGGCCGTGCGAGCTCTCGGCCAAAAGCGCACGGCCAAAAGCGCATATTGCACGGCCGTGCGCCCGTCCTGGCCTGACCGTGCGTCTTGCACGGGCACCATAATGCCTCGCATGGCCGTGCGGGTATTCCCCCTTGGCCGTGCGAGCTCTCGGTAAGGATGGCACGGCCATATGTGCCAGGTGCACGGTCGTGCGCTTCTCCTCGGCCAGGCCGTGTCGGCTGCACGGGCAAAAACCAGCCTTGCACGGCCGTGCGCCCCTGCCCGTGCAGCAGATGCACGGCCTATTTTTATGGCCTGCACGGCCATTGTGGTCAGAAAACTAAAACCACTCGCCGGAATCCTCTGCCCTCGCCAGAAAACCGCGCAAAACCCACCTTTTTTCGATTTTTTCGGCCACTTTGGGTAATTTTTTCACCAAACCAACTACAAACCCACTCTTTCTACACCCAAAGCGGCCTATCCCTCGATTTTGAGCGAGTTTGGGCGACGTTTTCGTCGCCGGAGGCGATTTCCGGCGAGACTCCGGCGTGACTCCGACGAGCATTTCCGGCCAGTTTTTCGGCGTTTCGTCACTTCCATTGTCTTCCCCTCATCATTCCCTACACCTCTACTTGAGTCTCCAGGTTTGATTTTGCCCCTAACTATGTTAATTGTGGAGAATTGAGTGTGTAGGGTGTATGTTAGAGAACCTTATTGAATCATGTGAATCTTATGAAATTGATTGAGGGGAATGCATGGGATGTGATTGAATTATGTTGGGCAAAGTCCCCTTTGATTGTTTAAGCCCTTGTGTGCAAGAATTTGGCCAATTTCATGTTTAACTTAGTAGTGCACACAAGGTGTTCGCTGGAATGCCTGTTTTCCATGCCCTGTTGTGGCCACCGGTTGGGGCCCTTAATGATGTAGTTTGAGGGTGTATTTGCTATGGATGTGAACCTTGAGTTGCCTATTTTCTTGTGAATGTGCACCCCCACCCTGATTCTGCTTGATTTATCGAGATTTTGACCCCCGAACTATGGATGAAACCATGGTTAGGCTGTTTTCTGTTCTTAAGTGTGGGGGTGCGCTTGACCTTTTTCTTTGGCTCTTTTGGGTTCCACTTTGGGTTGTTGTTTTGCAGGGCAATGGCGAAACCTAATTTCCAGCACCCGTTCATCTGGGATCTGAGGAGGGGACCCACCGCAGAGCGCTTCAAGGAGGTCGCGGAAACCCCGTTTGGGTCACACCATTGCTGGTCCAAACGGGAGTTTCGGCGATTGCACTGCTACGAGCAGCTCTCCGCCGCGGTCGCCAACACCGCCTGGCGCCGTCTGCTCCAGCTCTGCGAGAAGGTCTACTACGAGCCGGTGTGGGAGTTCTACACGACCTTCAAGCACAATACCACGGACAACTGGCAGGACGGTACGACCGTCCAATTCAGGCTGGGCGGGGTCCCCCGGTCCTTGAGCTACCACGAGCTGGCCGAGGCTCTCGACATCGACCTCGACGATCTTGGCGACGAGTAGGCTGTACTCGTTGCCCGTCTCAGTGTGTTTTCTTTTTCATTTTAGACTTTTGTGTGTTTGCTCCATGTGTGCGGAGCTTGAACTTAGTGTCGTTTGTTTTTGTTTTTGGTTTTTCCTTTGTGGTTTGATGTAGCCGTCTGGGCTAACACTTATCCCTAACGCACAGTGTGCTAGTGTGTTTCTGATGTTCGATTTGTGCAGCATTGTCCACTCTCCCGTTCGTTTCTCGCCGACTGGTCCACTTCCAGTCCCCCAGCAGTGTTCTTACCCGGTAACATCGTTCCCCTTATCTTTCCCTCTACTCCATTGAGGGCAATGTCGTGCTTAAGTGTGGGGGGATGCTTTGTATCGGTTGGAATATGTATGATGGTGCTTGGAGCCTAGTCCGCTGTCCGAATCTTACGATTTGAGGGCTCCAAGTACTGCTGTTTGATCATATTGGCACTGTGTTTCGATGGATGAATTGATTGGTTTTCGGATTAATGCATGACAACTTGTTTGCGACTAGGACAACCTATGATGAGGACTGAGATGTGCAGTAGAACGATGTAGGGGTTCAGTTTTTCAACTGTTTGCTTGCCAACTGTGACTTGATCTGACTTGATCTGATTACTTGTTCTTAACAGTCGTTTATGCATCTAGTTCAGGGTAGCAGAATATGAGATAGAGCATATAGGTAGCCATGTGAGATTTGAGCCTGCTCGTTTCTTTCTTGTGCGATAGATCCCTCTTCCATGATGTGTAGCATTCACGTTGTCACTAGCTGAGATGATGGGGGCATAGGATTAGCCCACGCCCAAAACTGACTGTCCTGATGTGTCATATCCCCTAGTCAGCCCCTTTGAGCCGTGTGTTATCCTTTCTTTTGGTCAATAATGAAAAGAAATCACCCTTGTTGCATCTTTTAGAAGGTTCCACAGAGTGGTTTTTATATATTCTCTGCTGTTTCTGCTAAAGTCTATGTGAGTGTTGGAGGTAGTGCTTAAAAGTTGGGCGGATGTTTGAAATATGTGCAGGAGTGGTGGCTCTCTTAAGAAATGAAAAGAAAAATAAAAGAAAAACAAAGAAAAATTGGAAGCAAAAGAGAGCCACTACTAAAAATCTGAATAATGCCCAGTAAGTAGTGTTTCTTAGCAGTCTGGCTTGGAAATGCTGATGTTTATGCCTCCTTCGCTCTTGTGCTCTTAAGATATTGAGTAATGCAGGATAGCAGAAAGAAAATACCGGTTTGTTTGACTGTGATTGTGTGTTTGGAAAATGTGGAACCTTTTGCTATGAATACTTCCACCACCTAAAAGGCCTTTTCCCCATGTCCAAGACCCTATCCAGTCATTTGAACCTGTGTCTAAGACCTCCTGATTAGTTAGTGATGACACCCCATATGTGAACTCTAGCATTTAGAGGCTGCCATCATGGTGAAGAGATGATAGGGATTGAGAGAAATAGCATGCGCATCTTTCGCATCAAATTGTCCTGACCCCACTGGTCGAGAGTGAGTGATTCATTTTCATTTTCTATATGCTCTTGTACCCCGGTGAGGACCTAGATTGCTCGGTCTCTATTCTGATGTCTTGAGTTAGATGTATGAGTTGACTGTTTTGAGTAAGTGGTTGAATCAAGTCTAGGTTGGCCAGTGAACAGAAGGGAGACTCTTCCTTTACTCGATTTGCTGCACTCGAACGTCCTTTGTGGTGGTTGTCCAGGTTGTTGTTGAGGTTGTGCATGTATTGATGTTTGAAAACCAGTGCGATTCACGTGTTCTGTGCCTTTATGACTTGTCCCCAATGTTGGTTGATTGAAATGTGTAGGCTTACCTAGTGTCTGACTTGGTTTGCTTGGGGACAAGCAAACGGTTAAGTGTGGGGGAGTTTGATAGACCGTCATTTACACATGTTTTTACCCCCGTTCTTACACCGTTTGAGGTGTTGATTCTCGTGTTTTAGGCCGATTTCACGCTAGGTTGTGCTTGTTTGTGATATTTCAGGTCCTAGTACGTGAATGAAGGCTTAGGAGCGAGTCTGGGGTCGATTGGACGAAGAACGGACGAATGGCGAGGTTTTCAGGGAGCTGCACGGGCAGACCAGGGAGGCTGCACGGCCGTGCACGGTTGCAAGCTGGCCGTGCGCCTCATGCCGAGGAGCTGCACGGGCAGGCCCTGAGGATTGCACGGCCGTGCACCTGGCCGTGCAAGAAGCCTGAGTTCAATTAAGGGATACGCTGCGTTTCATGGTGCACGGCCAGAATGGTGAGGTGCACGGCCGTGCACCCTGGCCGTGCAACTCGGGAAAACCCGGTTTTAAAGCCTAATCCGAGCCAGAAGTGAGAGAAGAGTGTTTTCAGAGCAAAAACAGAGCCCTAGAGAGAGAAAGTACGAAGAACACATCCTAGAAGCTGTCTTAGAGCTGGATTTCATCGAATCGAGCCTGGAGATCGTCATAGGAGTGAAAATCATCGTCCCGGAGCAGATTATCCTCATCGTTATGAGTATGACTAATCCGATTCTTGTTTTCTCTTCTCTCTCTATGGAGTAGAACCCTTCTCTCACTTGGGGATGAAGAACCCTAGTTCTATGTGTTAGGGATTGATTGTAATGACTTGGGATGATATTACTGTTTGGTTTTAATCGATTGAGACATGCTTGATTGAGTCAATTGAATCTTGATCAAATTCTCTTGATTTCTGCTTTAACCTATGATAGATAGAATCTGATTAGGTTAAGAGAGCTTCCTTGATTGATAGTGGTGAATTGGTTGTGCGAGAGTCAATCAATTTACTGCTTTGTACTGGAATCTAATTCCAGTAGTGAATTTCTGTTCTTACTGCTTCAGCTTTCTATCCCGGTGAAGACTAGTCGTCTGCCGGGTAGTTAGACTGAGAGGGCTTGGTCAGCTTAAGAGATTCCAAGCTACTGCCGGATCTTCCGCAGTCTAATCAACAGTAAATCAACCCAGGGTAAATTGCAATTGAAACCTAACTAAAGAGCTAGGGGGATTCATTCCCGAGTGACTCTTTCCTGCTTAAGAAAACCGATTAATTTCCTGCTTTATTTCTGCTTTTAGTTTAAACAACAATCACTTACTCTAGTTGGCTAGATAACAGAGAATCACTGAGTAAGCAGTAGATCTAGACCCCGGGTTGATAATATAACTTGCCTGTTACTGCATTCCCGGTCTGCGATTACACTTGGTCGCAGATTGGTGTTGTGTTTTGGCGTGTCACCAGCCATCAGCATGACTCATGCCCTCGTTTGTGGCCCGGTGATCACCGCCTTGGCCCGCAACTATGAGGTGGATTACACGGGGATGACTTTGGTGCACGGGGCGTTCCCATTCAGCGAGGCTACTCTTCGCCACCAGCACTTGTTTGCTCGCCACGGTCGTCAGCGCTGGATCGAGGGCCTTCCTCAGCCACCTCCTCCTGCAGAGGGTGACCAGGCCGAGCCGAGCGCCGCTGGTGGGCGTCGAGGTCGACGTCGCGTTCCCCGTCGTGGCCAGGCTCGCGCGAGCCCCTCTCCTACTCCCCGGTCTCCGTCTCCAGGGTCACCTCCTCCAGTGGTGGTGCCCATCTCCGACCAGTTGGCGGCGATCTCGCAGCAGAATGAGCGCCTCCTAGCTGGCCATGAGCTCCTCCACACCCGCCTTGATCGTGAACGGGACCGAGGGCGTCGTATCCTGTCCGGGCAGCACTACATCATGTCCTATTTGGGCTTGGACCCGAGCGCGGTCCACTACCCGTTCGTGCAGTCCCCGAGGTTTGAGGATGAGTACCCTCCACCCACCGGTGATGGTGGTGATGCCTAGAGCGGGTTTTGTGCTTTATCTATTTTCCAGACTGAGACTCCGTGTTTTGTGGTTTCGTTTTGTTTTGTTTTATCTCGAATTGTAGACTTGGTAGTCTGACTCCTATCACCCAGTGTGTGTTTTTGTTGTCTCTAGCTCTGTGCCCCTTCTTTCGACTGGTCCGCCATCCAGTCAGCTTTCCTGACCACTGTTTCACGGTAACATCGTTCCCCTTCCCTCTGCTCCATTGAGGACATTGTCGCGTTTAAGTGTGGGGGGGGGGGGTTCTTTGTATGAATTGGAACGTATATATGTGTGCTTGGAGCCTAGTCCACTGTCCAAATCTTTAGATTTGAGGGCTCCAAGCACGGCTGTTTGCTTGATGATTGATCGTATTGGCACTGTGGATATGATTAGTGAATTGAATGGCTTTTGACTTGATATATGACAACTTGAGTGGGACTTAGACAACTTATTGTGATGACTGAGATGTGCAGTAGAATTGTGTAGGGGTTTAGTTTTCTCAACTATTTGCTCACCAAATGTGACTTGGTTTGATCACTTGCTTTTGACAGTCATTTATGCATCTAGTACAGGGGATCAGGATGAGAGATAGAGCATATAGGTAGCCATGTGAGATTTGAACCTGCTCGTTTCTTTCTTGTGCGATAGTTTCCTCTTCCATGATGTGCAGCATTCACGTTGTCATTAGCTAAGATGATGGAGACATAGGATTAGCCCACGACCAAATTGACTGTCCTAGTGTGTCATACCCCTAGTTAGCCCCTTTGAGCCGTGTGTTTCCCTTTCTTTCGGTCTTCAATGAAAAGTCACCCTTTTGCATCTTTTAGAAGGTTCCACAGAGTGATTTTTACATGTTCTCTGCTGTTTCTGCTAAATGTAATGTGAGGGTTGGAGGTAGTGCTTAAAAGTTGGGCAGGTGTTCGAAAATTTGCAGAGGTGGTGGTTCTCTTAGGAAATGGAAAATAATGAAAGAAAAAAAAATGAAAGCAAAAGAGAGCCACCACCAAAAATCTGAATAATGCCCATGTAGTAGTGTTTCTTAGCAGTCTGGCTTGGAAATACTAGCATTTATGTAACCTCCTTCGCTCTTGTGCTTTGAACTTGAGTAATGCAGAATAGCAGAAAGAAAGTTATTGGTTCGATTGATTGTGAATCTGTTGGGTTTGGAAATGTGGAACCTTGTGCTGTATGAATACTTCCACCACCTAAAAGGCCTTTTCCCCATGTCCAAGACCCTAGCCAGTCATCTGAACCTGTGTCTAAGACCTCCGGATTAGTTAGTGATGACACCCCATATGTGAACTCTAGCACTTAGAGGCTGCATTCATGGTGAAGAGATGTTAGGGATTGAGAGATTAAGCATGCGCATTTTTCGCATCATATTGTCCTGACCCCACTGGTCGAGAGTGAGCGATTCATTTTTCTCTTATTCTCTATACTCTTTATCCCGGTGAGGACCTAGATTGCTCGGTCTTAATTCTGATATCTTGAACTTTGTGCATGATGTGACTGTTTTGAACAAGTGTTTGAGTCAAGTCTATGTTGGTTGGTGAACAGAAGGGAGACTCTTCCTTTGCTCGATTTTACTGCATTCGAATGTCATCTGTGGTGGTTGTCTAGGTTGTCAGTGAGGTTGTCCATGTGTTAATGATCGAAAGCCAGTATGATCCACGTGTTTTGTGTCGATATGTCATGCCTTGTTGTTTTGAGCTTACCTTGTGTCTGACTTGGTTTGCTTGAGGACAAGCAAACGGTTAAGTGTGGGGGAATTTGATAACGATGTAATTGCACATGTTTGCGCCCCTAGTTCTTATCCGTTTGAGGGGTATAGTCGTGCGTTTTGGCCTATTTTACGCCGGGTTGTGCTATTTTGTCATATTTCAGGTCCCAGGCGTCAAAGGGAAGGCTAACCACGAGTTTCGGGGCATTCGGAGGTCATTTCGTCAAGCTGGGGCCAAAACACGGGCACACCTAAGGCATTACACGGCCGTGTTCCTGTGGCCGTGCTTTTTATGCCGAGAGCTGAGTTGATTACACGGGCAGGGCCGAGACAAAGCACGGCCGTGTTCCACAAAAGCACGGCCGTGTCCAACGCGAAGCACGGCCGTGTTTCTCCCCAACTGCTGGCCGTGTAATTAACACTGGCCGAGACACGGGCAGGCTCAGGCAAAGCACGGCCGTCCCCTCGACCGTGCTTTGGCCACTGATGCCTTTGTAAGCAGATTTTCAGCCAAACAGAAGGGGATTCGAGTTTTAGAGAGAGAGATAAGTTCCTAGAGAGAGAAAGCGACGAACAAGAGTCTCCAAGTGCCCTAGATTGATCTTCAACACCATTGGAGGCCAGCTTGAGCTTGGAGAAGTGCCGATCAACGTCCAGGAGCAGGAATCCATCCTTCACAGTATGAATTCTGCGTCTGATTCTGCTTTTGCTTTCTTCTCCATGGAGTAGTTCTCCCATTCATCTGGGTATGGAGAACCCTAGATTTGTATGTTAGGCTTTGATTGTATGAACCCAAGTACTGATTCTATGATTTGATTATATTCGATTGAGGTTTGAATGATTGAATGACTTGAATCCTGATCAAATTCCTGTTGTTTCTGCTTTGACCTAGAATGAGAATATCTGCCTAGGTTGATAGAGCATCCTTGATTGAAGGTAGAGAGTTGGTGACTTTAGTCGAGGAGCCAACTCACTATTCTGTACCGGATTTACTCCGGTAGTGGAGGTTTTGTTCTTAGGGCCTCAATCTGTTTACTCCGGTGGAGGTTAGTCGCCCGCTAGAGACTCAGATTGAGAGGGTCTGAAGACCTTTAGTCGAGACTTCAGGCTGTTTAAGAACCTTCCGCAGTATAACTTTCATAGAAACTGAACTTGGTAATTACAATCCGGCTTAACTGCAGTCTAGGGGGAACCATATCCAGGTGACCTCTCTTAACCTGAATACAATCGTTTACTTGCTTTGTTAGTTTGTTAGTTTAGACTTGCATTCCAGTTTCATTGCTAGATAACAAGAATTCACTGAGTAGTCATCAGATCTAGGACCCGGGTTGACATTTAAACCCAAACCCGCTATACTACGTTTTAGGAAGTGGTTTCACTTGGCCAATTCCTAGGGTGACAGTAGAGTCGAGTCAGTGAACTTGCAGAAGATGCGCGAGTTATGCCCTGAAGGGGCACAGTGGCTGGATGGACATGACCTATCCATGTGGACATTTCATAAAGACGGAGGTACAAGATGGGGTATGGCCACAACGAACTCATCAGAGAGTATCAATTCTGCCTACAAGGGTGTTCGGGCGCTGCCAATCTCCGCCATTGTGACGACCAGACACCGTGAGGATGGTAGACGCGGGGTCCATTGCCATGAATTTTTGGGAAATTTCAGGACAAAACATGGTGAGTGCTCATGGCAGAAGTATTAGGGAAGAGGGTGGCCATGTTCTCATGCAATGGCCCTGTCACTTCTTCAGTCCATTCTTCAATATCGGCTCACTAAAAAATTGCTATGGACGTAGTTTCTGTGCATTGCCTGATGAAGCTTACTGGCCGGTGTAGTCAGGAGAGTTGATAATCCCGCCGTTCGGACAGAGGCGTGAACCGGGTCGACCAAGGAAAAAGAGAATTCAAAACGAAATAGATCAAAGTGGAAGACCACCACTAGGCCCAAGACGATGTTCAGTATGCAAAGTTCCAGGGCATGATAAACGGAGTTTTCCAGGTCTGATTGGTCCACAAAATCCGGGTCCTGATGTGGGGGAGTCAGCTAATGCGACATAGTTTGTGGTTTTCATTTGTTGGTACTTGTTATGTATGTTTTCAATTATTGTCAGAGTTAGAGCTATGATGCTTGGAACTTTCGTGTTTTCAAATAACCCTCAATTAACACTCAAGCCTTAAGTTAACACGATCAAAATAGAGAAAGCCAAGAACTTAGAACTAAAATAAAAACTAAAACAACACTTAATTAAAGAAACTAAAATAGAACGGTTTCAAGTACATATAATTAAAACATAACTAAAAACAACACTTAAAATTATAAAACTAAAAATCCATCTCAAGGAAGTCCCTGAGCCTCATGGGGCTGCAAAGTTTCCTGGCTCCTTGTACGACGGCCGACGGGAGTGACCATTGGTGGTTGTGGTGGCAAGTTTCGATGGGTCGTTCTAGGGCGCTCGTCGGTGCTGTGTCGGCGTCGATCCGTGGTATGCGGCGCTTCCGGGGTCGAGCGGGGGACATCGACCCTCATACGGTGAGGGGTAGGAGGCCACGACCGATGTGGCGAGGAACGGGATTGAAGTCGTGATGCGCAGTGGTGGAGGAACCATCATGCCAAGTACCCGAGGATGTGGGGGGTTCGTTGAAGAAGTTTGGGCGGGGATCATAGTATGGTGGGCGAGGATCATAGTATGGTGGGCGGGGATCGTGGTATGAGATCGGTTGGGGATCATATGGAGATTGATGGTAGCTCTAAGGGGATTGATGGTAGCTCGGGCGGGGATCATGGTATGAGCTCAGGAATTGCTCATGATGGTAGGTCGGGCGGGGATCTTGGGAGTGGCTCGGGCGGGGATCTTGGGGGGGGGGGGGGTCTTGGGACAAACTCGGGCAGGGATCTTGGGATTGACTCGGATGGGGATCTTGATGTGAGATCGGACCGCCACCGTGTGCCACAACCAAGGGGGTCGGCACTCTCCACGCCTCCAATGGCTTTATCTCGGGCTCATGTGGTCTTTCCCGAACCTTCTTGCTTTTTTTTCTCTCGTATGGTGGTGGGGGATGGGGAACATCAACTTGTATCGGAGGTGGCACCGGTGCGGGCATGGGTGGGTATCTACGATGATCACGACCATGTGCTCTGATACAACCAAGCAAACTGTTTGTCATCCTCCTGATGAAGCTCACATCTTCATGTCCCATTTCATGTTTCCGATGGGTCAACGCTTTGATCCGCTCGATCCCATCAACCTAAATCACAAAAAAAGGTTAGCAAGATAAGACTAATGATGTGACAGAATGAAACAAGCAATAAATTTAATCTTATTAGACAGAATATACTTACCAATGCACCATCGGCCGCACCCTCCGGAGTCACGTACCGAACCGATGTTTGCGGATATCTATCCATGTATGGGTCATGATACCCCATTCGACCCACACTTGTTGGAGTGACAATATCCTGAAGTTGTCGCTTCTCCCATACCGCGATCAATTCCGCCAATTTCGTGGGCCAATCGTGAGTACCTTGCCGACTATCTCGGTGGTGAAACGCCCTTTGACTCTCGGGGACTTCCTACGGAATGCACTGCTCCCGACCAAACTGACGAAGGCATCGATCCGGCAGGTTCCACTCCACGGTCCCTAAACAAATGAGAGGGACCCTCGTGCACCATGTCCCGATATTCTCGGGTAATTGCAGTAAATACCAATCAACGATGTTTGCCGGGTATGGATCGAATTTGATCTACAAAAAAAATTAGTAACTCAAGTTAAATCCGATTGGATAAATACATGTACTCCATGAAAAAAGTTATAGCACTTAGAAGTATTCTAGTTACCTCTCCTTCCCAAAGTCGCTCTAGCCTCCTCCGATACTCTACCAACTTGTGTTGGGCAAGGTTGTCGCATGTTGAGGCTTCAACCCACCTTATTAATAAGATGATAAGAAAAATACACTCAATTAAAATAAGCTAAAACATAAGGAAAATTGTGTTATTAAAATCATGATGGGGTATGAGAAATTTACCTACAACCATAAGCTTCGAGTCTTAGGGGATGATCGGGACCCCAATTTCTGACGGGACATTGGAGCGGTGCAATCCATGGGAGAAGATCACAAGCCCAAAACTGGACGATGAACATTGCGCCGCTGACCTCCCTCACAGCTTTGAGAGATGCGTTGCACAAATGGTGGTAGATAGCTAGGCAAGCGGATGCCCAGCTCAACTCCCCCATCTCATCCCAACTACCAAGGAGGATCCTAAGCCATCCAAAGCTAATTAAATTGCTCGATTTTTTGGAGAAGAACACTCCTCCTATCACGCCTATGAGATAGACACGAGCATATCTTTCCTTCTCCAGCTCCGGACTTTCCTCGGTTAGGGGCACCCCATCTTTTTTCAAGATAGTGATGGTCCCTAAAATACTTTGTCAACCAAGTGATTGATACTTGGCCTTTCCTCAATGGTGTCAAGCAATCCGTCGCATCAACGCTCCCCTTGGTTGGTACTTTCACCCCCAAAACACCGTGGATGAAATACTGTCAACCGATCATACTGTCACGATCCTCGGGGGGATTATCACTCACACACACTCGCTTTGCCGTCGATGGGCAAATGAGTTAGGATGGCGACGTCCTTGAGTGTGATGGTGCACTCTCCTTCGCGAAAGTTGAAACAATGTGTCTCCTTCCTCCATCTCTCCACCAATGCGGTGATGAGTTGGCGATTGACTTTTATGCCTACAAAATGCCTAATAGACTCCAACCGTGCCCTTTTGAGATAGGGCAAGATAACTGGGTTCCATGGGAGCACATTGGTCGTACCCCTGTAGCGGAGTATTTGTTGTGCCTCCTAGCAAAAATTTCAACGTTATTTATGATATATTAGTAACATTTTAGTCTTATAACTAAATAAATTAAAATTAATGATTTAATTTCGACCATTATTAAAATGATTTATGATATATTAGTAATAGTTTAGTGTTATAACTAAATTAATTAAAATTAATGATTTAATTTCGACCATAATTCTATTATAATTATATTATTGACAATCAAATTTAAGTAATTCGAGGTTTTCTTCAAGATATATACATATTATCATAAAACAAACATAAATTAATTGACATAAATAACATTCTAAATGAATAATAATTTAAAGAGATACATACATATTCAAACATTTGAAATTAATAAAATTCATTTAAGTACACATAATCATAAATCGTATTGATTGTTTGGTAAGTAATTTAATCGTATTGGTTGTTTTAAATAATTTAATTGAATACAATGCAACACTCGTTAGACTCTTAGAAGAGGTATACATTTTCTTTGAAACGCAGCCTTTTTGACAGAAAAAGGGGGGATCCGAGGATCTCTTAATACCTGATTTTCCCAAGAAATGGGAGGATCATGATAATCGCTTAAAACCCTATTTCCTTAGACGTGCATCTCTTTATAAAGAGTCCAAGTAAGTGGCGCTATGTATTCGATTAAATTATTGAATAAACCAATACGATTAAATTATTTCAAATTTATTTTATATTCCACTAAGTACATTAGCAAAATAAAAGAAAGATAAAGATGAAGAATTGTATGTACCGGGTGATCGTTCCAAACATCCGTTGAACGATGGTTGGGTTGGTCATACAAGTCGGTCGGATCAATAGGACCTTGATCCAAATAATACCGTTGATTGTATATATTCACGTCGTCCCCAACCTACGAGAGAATAACAACAAGGTTAGTACATAGATTAATTAAAAAGCGTATAACAAAAACAATAATTGACCAAAATAATGAGTACGTAACGCTTGAAATTCATCATAATAAACTCCCTCTCCTTGGAACCATTTTTTCGCGAAAGTCGGACAGAAATTCAGCGGTTTTTGAGGAAAAATTCAAAGAAATGTTTTCTGATGGCAGATCGGGCTTAACCGCAACCAACAAACCACTATTTCCTAGGCTTTTGGAAGGGGAGGGGTTAGAGAGATAATTCTAGAGAGAGAGAGAGAGAGTGGAGAATGGTTGTGTTGTGGTGTGAAGAAATGAGAGGGGGGAGGGGGTATTTATACCCTTCAGACCGCACCCTCCAGGGGCGTTCTGGTCATTTCTCCCCCAGTCAAACCGCTCCCTTCCGATGCGGTCTACACATCCCGAGGGCTGACCGCTCCCTCCCGCTGCGGTCTTCGATCCGTGGCAAGGATCGCTGAGGTGGCAAGCGGTCCGCCACTGGATCGCTGCCTCATCCTGCGGTCTCCAAGGTCGTTGCCCACCAAACACAGACCGCACTTTGGAGGTGCGGTTCCGAGTCTGACGTGGCACAAAACGCACCTCCAAGGTGCGGTTTATACATAAAACGCACCTGGAGGGTGCGGTTTAGTTATAAAACGCACCTTGGAGGTGCGGTTTGATAAAAATGGTGCTATTTTTGTAAATGTTGTGGGCTGGATGCTCTTTTTGTAATTTTTTTTAATAGGTGCTATTATTGGAAAAATCGCCTAAACCAGCGACTCTGGTCTTCTTCTCTTCTCTTAGCAATCAAATCCCTTCGAAAATCGATAGCAAAATCATGAACTCCATTAAAATCAACAAGACAAAAATACAGAAAATAAACTAATGAAGAAAAATGCCATGCATGTCTCGATCTTACTCAGATTGTAGCCCTCCAGTGTTAACACAATTAGAGGGCAAACTGACAACTTTATTGATGTAAACGATTGGAATCTTAAGTACAAGGCTTGAAGCCTGTGACTTCGGCTTCCACTAAATGCACTAACCTCTCTATCCTTGAAATCAGCTAACAACTCTAGCTAAAGACTCTAAGAGACTACCGAACTTGCCTTGCACGTTCCACAACACATGAAACCCGGACTGGACTTATTTGACACAAAGTAGAACTACAAGGATTAAACTTATAGACACTCAAAACGACATACTTTAACTTTAAACTTCAAATTTCATCATTCCCACCAAAGCCTCTTCTCCAGCTTCGCCCAGGGTTCGATCTTCAAGTTCAGCAACTTTAACATCCTCCCCTTGAACTGAAGCTGAAGCATCTCTGAAGCTTCAGTTCAACTCCAAGTCTGCAACATCTACCATTCCCAATTGAATTCTCAGTAGGTGGAACACATCAAGCTTCGGTAGCTTGGTCATGATGTCAGCTACCTGATCAGCCGTTCCACAATGCTGCAACTCGACGACTCCTTCCTTTGCCAGATCCCTAAGAAAGTGGAATCTAACATCGATATGCTTGGTCCTTCCATGTAACAAAGGGTTCTTGGAAAGTTTGATTGTCGAGATGTTATCACACATATAGGTGTCAAAACATAGCCCGACCCGATTAACCCATCCGATCAACCCGACCCGCAACCCGACCGCAACCCGAATTGACTAAATGTCAACAACCCATAACACGCCCAACCCGCAACCCAACTAGCCCGCAACCCGACTGCCCCGCAACCTGATTAACCCGAACCCGATTGACCCGCAACCCGATTAATCCGAACCCAATTGTCCCGAACCCAAAAAACCCGTAACCCGACCGACTCAACCCAAACTTCACCTAATCCACTTGAATAATTATTATAATATACTATAAATAGTTTTTCAAAATAAAGTTTTTCATTCTAAACTTAAGTAAATTATTTTTTCATTTCATATAGGGAATTTAAAAAATATGAAACTCACTTGATGTTATGTATTTTAAGAAAATTACAAACTTTGAAACATGAAGGTCATTTGAACATTAAGTTCTTTAAAAAATATAAAATATAAAATCAGCATAATATCAATATTAATAATGAAGAATTAATATAATATATAAATTAAAAGTTTGGTTAATTTAAAAAGTCAATAAAATTATTAATTAAATATAAATAAAATAAAGTAATGTATTTGGTAATTTGATGTTTTTAAAAAAAGAGGGAAATTTTGGTGTATTCAACTTTTTGGAAAGAGAAAGAAGAGGGAAATTTGGTTCTTTGAATTTTTTAGAAAAGAAACAAGTGGGAATTTTTGTGGTTTTGATTTGTGTGAAGAGAAAGAAGTGGGAAAGTTTGGTTGTTTTGATTATTAAAGAGAAATAAGGAGGGAAATTTTGAGTTTTCAACTTTTTGTGGAAGGAAGAAAGAGGGAAATTTGGTTCTTTCAATTTTTTGGAAGAAAAAAAGAAGGGAAAATTGAGTGTTTCTAATTTATAGAAGGAGAACGAAGAAGAGATTTTTTTTTTGTGAAAAGAAAGAAGGAGACAAATTTGGTGTTTCCAATTTTTTTTGTTTTTCAAAATTTTAGCCTTTGAAATATTAATCTTTAATTTTTATATGGAGGGCATGACTAGTTAAATTTATTCTTATATTCTTTGAAGGCTAATATATATATGTATGTAATTATTTTTGGACTAATAAATAAATTAACCATTAGTTACAACAATTATACTAAACTTGATAAGTAATCTTTGACGGTTCGTTGTTTAGGGTATAAAGTATATGGTTAGATTATAGGGTATAAGGTACATATGGTTTATGGTGTATATGGTTAGGATATAAGATATTGATGGTTTTGACGATTCTAAATTTTTTATTAACATATGTTCACTTGAAGTCATTTGAAGTCTTTAACGGCAGGAGATCCCTTTTAATTTATGTTTATGGTACGTGGTTCGGGTACAAGATATGTGGTGTAGAGTATAGGATAGATGGTTAGGGTATAGCAATTAGCAAATATAACTTTTTATCTATATTTTGAAAATCAAAGTATGAATTTCACTTTTAAATTACCTATACTAGCAAAATCACAACTCATAAGGACATATGGTTAGGGTATAGGGTATGTGGTTAGTGTATAATGTATTGATGGTTTAGGGTATACAATCAACAACATATACTAACTTAATATTGTCGATTGAGGGTAAGGCTAAGTGTATAGGATATATGTTATTAAGTAAGTTATGATTGAAGTCATAATAATTTTACTAAATTTGATAGTTAACCTATAATGGTTCAATTTTTAGGATAATTCAAATAATTTTATAAATAACTCGTTTGGCAACAGTTTATTGAAGCTATTTGGCTAATGAGTTATTTCGAAATAACTCCTTTTATCACTCTATTTTTGCCAAATACCAGATTTGCATGGTTATACTAAACGAGATACTTTAATCCAATTACTATTGAAATAATACTAAATTATCAAATAAACAATTAATGGTGTCTTTTGGTTGCAAATATTGATATCAGCATTACTATTAGCTAGTATATATATATATATATATATATACGAGGTAGAAATAAATTGGTTTAAAAGTTGAGAAAAATATTTTAAATTAGTGTAATAAAATGTGTAAGTTGGTAACGAGTAATGAGTAAGTTACTCGATGTGCTGGCCCGAACAACCCAAAACTCGATCCGCCCGCAACCCGCCCGATCCAAAATCCGATGAACCCGCAACCCGTTTGAACCCGAACCGGATTGAACCCAGCCCAAACCCGCCCGAACCCGCCCGATTGACACCTATAATCACACATAATCCTTGTAGCCCCTTACTCCTTCTTCCAACTCATCTGCTCTATCACTCTTCGAAGCCAGACACATTGAGAAGCACAGTAGGAAGCAACCACGAATTCAGCTTCTGTAGTTGATAGGGTAACTACTGGCTGCTTCTTCGATGACCATGAGATTGCTCCAACTGCAAGGAAGAACACGTATCCACTAGTGCTTTTCCTGTCATCAAGATCACCTGCATATTCACTATCAGTGTATCCTAGCAACTGATCTTCTTCGTCAAACCTTTTCTACTAGATTCCATATCCTGCTATGCCTTTCAAGTATCTCAGGATACTAATCATTGCAAGAAGGTGTTGTCTTGTGGGAGATTCCATTAATTTGCTCATCAAGCAAACTAAGTACATTATATCTGGTCGAGTTGTTGTAACATACAACAAACTTCCTATAAGTTGCTTGTACTCAGTAGCATCCACAGAAAACTCATCTCCTACTTTTGTAAGCTTTGCTCCAGTAGTGATAGGATTATGAACAAGCTTGCAATTCTCCAGCTTGAATTTCTTCAGTACTTTTGTGACATACTTGCGTTGATTAATGTAAATATTAGAAGCAGTATGCATTACCTCAACATCCAGAAAGTACTTCATTTGGCCCAGGTCTGTCATTTCAAATTCTGACTGCATTGAGGCTTTGAAGCTTTCCATAATCTCTTGGCTGCTACTGGTGTACATTAGATCGTCCACATTGAGTGAAACAAGAAGTATGTAAGCTCCATATCTCTTAATGAACAAGGTATGTTCATACTCACATCTCTCAAATCCATTATGTAGAAAGTATGTTTCTATTCTGCTATACCAGGCTCAAGGTGCATGTTTCACTCCATATAGTGCCCTGTGAAGTTTGTACACCTTGTCTTCCTCTGCCGAAACTTCAAACCCTTGTGGTTGTTCAATGTAAATGTTCTTAGAGAGTTCACCATGCAGAAAAGCACTCTCAACATCTAGCTGGTAGACTGTTAAGCCATGTAATGCAGCTAGAGCCAAGAAAGTTCTTATGGTGTCCCACCTAGCCACTAGAGAAAAAAAATTGTGTAATCTACTCCATTATGTTGAGCATTACCCTTTTGCTACAAGTCTTTCTTTGAACTTGTCCACATATCCATCCTCCTTCAATTTTTTGTTCTGAAAATCCACTTGACTCCAATTGGAATCACTCCTTCTGGTCTGTCAACCAGAACCCATGTATAGTTCTTCGTGATACTTGAAACTTCACTCTTCAATGCTTCTCTCCACTTCTCTTCTAGAACTGCTTGTTCAAATGTTTGGGGATCACCACTCATTGCCATCATTACCAGCCAATCTGCATCTGCATAAGTACAGTAATATACCTTGAGATTACTTGGAGTTTTCCTTATTCTGGGACCAAGATCACCACTCACTAGCAGTCCTAGAGCATCAATACGAGTAGATTCCTCTTCTTCATCTTCATTGTTTGTTGGAGAGATTTGTTGAGTAGATGCAGCTGAACTTGTTGTTGTTTGTGGACTGTTGGGTTCAGAATCTTCACTTGGAGTGGCCAAGTCACCAGTTGCAGTGAAACCTTCTTCCTCTTCATCAAACCAGGGATCATCACTCCCTTCCCATATCAGCCTAGTCAGTTCAGGCTGCACTTCAGACTCCCAGCTCCAACCTTCTTGCTCATTGAAGACCACATCTCTACTGATTAGTACTTTCTTTGAAGCAATGTTGTACAATTTGTAGGCTTTGGATTCCTTAGAAACCCAAGAAACTGACATTTGATTCTCTTGTCATCAAGTTTCTTCCTCTGACTGGCATGTACATGAGCATATGCAGTGCAACCAAACACCTTAAAGTGATCAACAGAGGGAGTTTTACCTGTCTGGAGCTCTTGAGGGGTCTTGCCATCATTGGCTGATGTTGGACTTCTATTGAGGATGTGAGCAGTCCACTCCACAGACTCAGGCCAGAAAGATGCAGGTACTTTTGTATGTTTCAATGAACATTTGACCATATTCATGATCGTTCTGTTCTTTCTTTCAGCAATGCCATTCTGTTGTGGAGTCATGCCTGCTGACTGCTGTGAGTTGTCTCCTGATCCCTGCTTCTTCACAAACTTCCTTAAACTCATGCCACATAAACTCCCATCCTCTATTAGTTCTAAGACATGTAATATATTTTCCAGTTTCCTTTTCAGCTTGAATTTTGAACTTCTTGAACCAGGATATAACTTCTGACTTAGCTGCAAAAAAAAAACCCCAAAGCTTCCTTCTAGAATCATCAGTAAGAGTTAGAATGTACCTCTTGTCACCATTCGAGGCTGGTGTAATCGGCCCACATAGATCAGCATGCATCATTTGCAATGGTTGAGTGGCTCTCAAGGCTTCTGTCTTTGGAAATTCATGTATGTGTTGCTTTCCTGTCATGCAGGTGCCACACACTTCCATCTCTCCATTCAACTTAGGAAGACCTTGTACCCTTTCTTTCTTCTAAAGATGCACTACAACTCTTGTGCTCAGGTCTCTGAACCGTCTGTGCCATAAGTTCATTAGCTGCCTTTAAGATGTGCTTGACTGCAGATAGTGTAAGTCTCCTTCCTTCTTCTCTTTTGGTTCAACATGCAAGAAAAACATTGTTTATCTTCATGGTAGTTTGCGGTAGCAGCCCCTTTGATTCCTGAAAAATCTTGCAAACTCCATTTTTATAACAAAAGTTAGATTCTTCTCTTGTAGTTGACCTACACTGAGCAGGTTTGTTTTCAGTCCTGACACATAGAAAACATTTTGTACAGTCAGTACAGTTTGATGAACCTCCAGCCTAACACTTCCTTTTCCAAGAACTTCAAGTTTGTGACTATTGCCTAGCTTTACTTCACACTTTAAGCTAGAATCAATCAAGATGCTTGCTACCACTCATGTGGTTGCTGTAGCCAGAATCCAGAACCACCATCCCTCAGAAGTTTTGTCCTGGTTGGTTTCTAAGAAAGCATCAAACGGTTTGCACCACTCCCTTCCTTTTGTTCATCAGATTCTTCTTCCACATAAGCCATTAATAACACATTATCTTTCATATCAGGATAAGAAGAACCATAGTTTGAAAAATGAACCTACTATTGAGTGTTCCATTCTGGACATTCATTTCTAAAATGCCACATTCTATGGCATTTGAAGCATTCTACCCTATCCCTATTCACAGGTCTTCCTCTTCCTCTTCCCTGATAACTCCTTCCTTGTCCTCTTCCTCGTCCTGCAAACTTATGATTTGCTTTCAAGGTTAGCTCTTCTTCATATGAATGCTTGGAGAACTTCTACTCATGGACAAGCAGAGAGCTCTGCAAGGCATCAACTAACAGCTCTGAGATGTCCTTGGATTCTTCAATTGAGCAGACGATGTATTTGAACTTTTCTGTCAAAGTTCTCAGAATTTTCTCCACAATTTTCTCATCGGACATAAACTCACCACAGTTTGATAGAACTAGAACTCTCACGAGGGGATTTAGGGATTGAGAAAAGAAGAAACTAGGGATTTCGAGAGATTGAGGAAGAACAAGAGAGAGAGAGAGAGAGAAATGATATTAGAGATTCGCTAATTGTTTGATAATGATTTCTTAAAAGAAACAAGAAATAAAAAAATATGCCATTGGCAACCCGACCCACTCGGCCAAGCCATCCCCTTAATTAACCCGCTGGGGCGGGTTTCTATCATCCCCTCCCTCTTTAGAATCGACCTTGCCCTCAAGGTCGAACGTGGGATACTTCTTCTGTAGCGCCGATGTCTCGTCCCAGGTTCCATCCTCTGGCTCGACATGCTTCCATTGGACCAAGCTTTCCTCGATAAGCCGACCCTTCTTCTTGGTCCAATGCATCTCTAACACCTTTAGAGGTGTCAACTCCAAGTCTCCATCTACACTAACCGGGGGTGTTGTAGTCTCTACTCGATCCGCCGACCCCCTGTAGTGCTTCGGCAATGATATGTGGAATGTCGGGGGGAATGTGAGCATCTGCCGGTAGCTACAGTCGATAAGCCACAAGATTTACCTTCTGCTGAACCTTGATAACGATGTAATTGCACATGTTTGCACCCCTAGTTCTTATCCGTTTGTGGGGCGTAGTTGTGTATTTTTGGCCTATTTTACGCCGGGTTGTGCTACTTTGTCATATTTCAGGTCCCAGACGTCGAAGGAAAGGCTAAGCACGAGTTTCGGGGCATTCGGAATTCATTCGGTCGAGCTGGAGCCAAAGCACGGGCGCGCCTAAATCAGAGCACGGCCGTGTTCCTGGACCGTGTTTTTACTTCCAAGGCTTGATCCAAGATTTTCCTACGCTGGCCCAAAACACGGGCGGGACTGACTCAAAACACGGTCGTGTCCAACATTAGGCACGACCGTGTTTTCCCCAAGGTGTGGCCGTGTTTTTAACACGTGGCAAGGGCACGGGCGGGCAGCAGCAAAGCACGGTCGTGCCCTCGACCGTGTTTTGCCCAGGGTTGCCCTTTTAGGCAGATTTGAGCCAAAAGAGAAGGGGTTCCTAGTTTTAGAGAGACAGAGCGATTCCTAGAGAGAGAAAGCGACGAACTAGAGTTCCCAAGTGCCCTAGCTTGATCTTCATCACCATTGGAGCCCGGCTTGAGCTTGGAGAAGTGCCGATTGACGACTAGGAGCAAAAACCCATCCTTCACAGTATGGTTTCCGCATCTGAATCTGCTTTTGCTTCTCTCTCCATGGAGTAGTTTTCCCATTCATCTGGGTATGGATAACCCTAGATTTGTATGTTAGGTCTGATTTACCCAAGTACAGATTTTATGATTTGATTATATTCAATTGAGGCTTGAATGATTGAATGACTTGAATCCTGATCAAATTCCTGTTATTTATGCTTTAGCCTAGAAAGAGAATATCTCCCTAGGTTAATAGAGCACCCTTAATTGAAGGTAGTGAATTGGCGACTTTAGTCGAGGAGCCAATTCACTATTCTGTACCGAATTTACTTCTGTAGTGGAGGTTTGGTTCGTTAGGGCCTCAATCTGTTTACTCCGGTGGAGGTTAGTCGCTCGCTGGGGACTCAGATTGAGAGGGTCTGGAGACCTTTAGTCGAGACTTCAGACTGTTTAAGAACCTCCTGCAGTATAACTATCATAGGAACTGAACTTGGTAAATTGCAATCCGGCTTAACTGCAGTCTAGGGGGAACCATATCCGGGTGACCTCTCTCGACTTGAAAACAATCGTTTAATTGCTTGCTTTACTTGTTTGCTTGTTTGAACTTGCACTAAAGTTTCACCGCTAGATAATAAGAATTCGCCGAGTAGTCATCACATCTAGGACCCGGGTTGACATTAAAACCCAAACCCGCTATACTACGCTTTAGGAAGTGGTTACACTTGGCCATTTTCTAGAGTGACAGTAGGAGTGAGTCAAACCTCATAGGAGCCAAAATATCACGCGGAAAGCTTCTAATAAGATCTCCTGAACATCGTCGCCTTCCGGTAAGGGTGTAATCGCAGTAGCACCAAGTCCCCCACCGCGCACTCCTCCTCTTTCCTGCTCAAGTCTGCCAATTGCTTCATCAAACTGTTGGCAGCAGCCAAATTAGCCCTCAACTGTGCTATGGCCTCATCTCGGGCACCCAACCACTTTCAACAGTATCGACCGAGCTATTACCATCCCGGTAACGCACCAGAGAAGGAGGTGGTCTGCCGTATAATGCCTCGAACGGTGTCGTCCCGATAGCCTGATGGTATGTGGTGTTATACCATAGCTCAACCCATGGAATCATGGCCAACCAACTCCTCAGCTATTAGTGTGCGAAACAATGGAGGTACTGCTCAAGATTTCGGTTAATCACAGCATCCTGTCCATTTCTCTGCGTATGATATGCTAAGCTCATCTGCAACACAGTACGTGCCATCGCAAACACCTCCTGCCAGAAATGACTGAGGAAGATATGATCTCGATCACTAACAATCTTCCTGGGAACCCATGGTGTCGCAACACTCCACTCACGAACTGCTCGGCCACCCCTCATGCCGTGTATGGGTGAGCTAGAGCCATGAAGTGAGCATACTTCATGACTCAATCCACCACCACAAACAACACTGTCTTGCCTCCTAATGGTGGTAGCCCCACAATAAAGTCCATGTTGATATCCTCTCATACTCGCTTCAGAACTGGTAATGGCTGCATTAGCCCTGCTGATCGCAGCTCTGACACCTTCACTCTTTGGCAGTTATCGCATGAAGCCACATAGTCCTTAACCGCTTACCCATCTTGGGCCAGTAAAAATGGGCCCTGATCCGTAGCAGTGTCCGCTCCACTCTAGAATGTCCACTGAATGGCGAATCATGGAACTGCTGCAGGATAGTAGTGGCTAATGATGACCCAGATGGAAGGACCATGCTCCCTTTGAAAGACATCAGACCCTGCGGAAGGTGTAGTTTCCCGGTTCCTCACTCACTGCAATGTCCCAACACTCCTGCAAGTATGGATCAATCTTTATGAGTGCCCGCAGCTCGTCCCAAAACTGAGGTACGGGTCCTGTCATAGCCGCCAATACCTCGCCGCCCTGGCATCGGGACTGGCCGTCCGCCACCACGTTGGTGGGACCTGGTCGGTAGTGAATCTCGTAGTCATATCCAAGTAACTTCGAGACCAACTTGTGCTAATCCGGAGCTGAGACCTTCTGTCCCAAGAGATGCTTTAGACTCTAGTGATCCGTGTATATGTGGAACTTGTGCCCCAGTAGGTAAAGCCTCCATGTCTGCACTGCGAAAATGATGGCCTGCATCTCCTTCTTGTAAGTCGACCAAGCCTCTTTGGTCGGTCCAAGGTCCGAATCATGAAGGCGATTGGGTGCTGATCCTGCGACAGAACTGCCCCGATTCCCCTCCCTGATGCATCAGCCTCGATCACAAAAGGCTTGAAGAAGTTCGGCATAGCTAAAGTCGGGGTTGTGATCATGGCCTGCTTTAGCTCCTGGAATGCTGAATCCGCCCTGAAGTCCACACGAATCCTCCCTTCTTCAACAAAAACGTCAGTGGTCTGGCAATCGTGTTGTACCCCTGTACGAAATTCCTGTAGTAGCTTGTCAAGCTCAAGAACCCGCGTTGCTCTGTCACATTGGTCGGTACTGGCCACTCCACCATAGGGTGAATCTTGGGCTGATCTACCTGTACCCTTTGCGACGTCACTATATGTCCCAAATACTCCACCTCCTGAATTCCAAACGCACACTTGGAAGCCTTGATGTAGTACTGGTGCTTTCGCAGTATCTCAAACATAGCGTGTAAATGGCACAAGTGATCTTCCCAAGTCGGGTTGTATATGAGAATATCATCGAAAAATAAAAAAATACACCATCGCAGCAAGGTCTGAAATATGTCATTCATGGCCTCCTGGAACATGGACGGGGCATTACATAACCCGAAAGGCATCACCAAGTACTCGTAATGGCCGTTATGCGTCTTGAAGGCTGTCTTATGCGCATCCTTCTCCTGCATCCGGATCTGGTGATACCCGGCCCTCAAATCCAGCTTGGAGAATAGGCTAACCCATTCAACTCATCCAATATGTCATCCACTGTCGAAATAGGGAACCTGTCCTTCACGATTGTTTCATTGAGAGCGGGATAGTCGGTGCAGAACCTCCAAGTTCCATAATTTTTCTTGACCAGCAAGACCGGTGAAGAGAACGAACTGGTACTAGGTCGGATCAACCCCGTCTCCAACATCTCAGCCACCTGCCTCTCGATCTCCCCTTTCTGTGAGTGCCCATAACGGTAAGGTCGGACATTCACTGCTTCCACTCCTTCCTTTAACTAAATCCGGTGATCAACCTGTGGATGTGGAGGAAGAGTGGTAGGGGTTTGGAACAGCTCAGGGTACCGATCCAATACCCCCTGCAGCTCAGCGTTGATCTTTGTCTTCGCCGTCTCGGCAAGCGGCCAATAGAGCACGGCCAATTCGGCCCCCAACACGCAGTCCCGAATAGAAATGGACCCCATCGCCGTCGTGAGACCTTGAAATGTCCACTCCTTATCCCTCCACTTGAAACACATGGTCAGACTTCTCCAGTAACTCATTACCGGACCCAGACTTTTCAACCACAGCACGCCTAGGATCACATCGACCCCCCTGAAATGCAGCATATACAAATCGTTAGTGATTTCTAACCCTTGAATAGCGAGAGTCATACTCCGGTATACCTGTTTGCACCTCATTGGAACTCCATTTGAAACCTTGACCACGACCGGATTCACCGGAGTGGCCTCCTGTCTCAGCGTCTTCGCGAACTCCAGGCTGATAAAGTTCAGAGACGCGCCACTATCGACCAAGGTCATGGCCGACCGTCCTTCCACTGCTGCTTGGAAATGCAGCGTTCCTGGCGAGGTTTACTTCCTGCAGCCGCGATCGGCCGCAGCGACTGCGGTGGGGCCGCGTGCAGCTTCCTCCAGCCAGTTCGATCGTTGCACCTCGTGCCGCTGCCTCTGCCTTATTCGCCGCCCTCAGCCGAGCCTCCCGACCCCATCGGTCCAACGTTTGACGCAGCAACTCATGTAGCCGAACCCATTTCGAATCAAAGAGCCGTGACGAGCTTATTCTGGCTATGATACCAGATGATAGAAACTATAATTCCCGCAAGGGGATTTAGGGATTGAGAAACGAAGAAATTAGTGATTTGGAGAGATTAGGGAAGAATAAGAGAGAGAGAAATGAGATTAGGGATTCAATAATTGTTTGATAATGAATTCTTAATCTGAAAAGTACGATGTTGAACCCTTAAGTAGGAGTTCTAAAAGAAACAAGAAATAACAAATATGCCATTGGCAACCCGGCCCCACTCGGCCAAGCCGCCCCCTCAATAAACCCGCTGGGGCGGGTTTCTATCATAGTTCCTCATGGAATTTGCAATCACCATCACCCTGCCAAAGTAGTCTATCACAGACTCTCCTTCCTTCATCTCCAGGATCTCAAAACTCCTTTTCAAACTCTGCAATTCTGCTTTCTGGACCCTTGCATTACCCTGGTATCTCACTTTCATCGAGTCCCACAGCTGTTTGGCTTTAGCCTTATGAGTGATTGTCTTCAAGATTGTCTTGTCTATTGAACTGAAAAGGTAGTTCTTGGCTTTCATATCCTTTAGTCTCAATACTTCCAGGGCCTTCATCTGAGCAACAAACTACTCTTCTTTTGCTTCAGGTTCCACGAAACCAGCATGCACCGCACTCCAATACTCCTTTGATCTCAAGAGATTTTTCATTAGCATGCTCCTATGGTCGTAGTCCCCATCAAACTTCGGGATACAGACCTGCTTTCACTCATCTTGTAATCCTATCAACACACTCACCAGACAATTTTGAAACCTCATTTGAATTCTCGTGTTTCCCACACCCAAGAACCTTGTTGATTTTCACACACCTCACTCACTAATCACACTGAAATTGCAGGTTACATCTTGTTGTTGTACTATGATACCACTATGTTAACACAATTAGAGGGCAAATTGACAACTTTATTGATGTAAATGTTTGGAACAGGGGTGGAGCTACAGTTGGCCTCGGGCCCCGACAATTTTGAAGACAATTTTGAAACTAACGTGTAAAGTATATCGGTTTTTGGAATTTCTGTATAAACTAAAAAAATAGTAAGAAGTAGTTTGTGCGCGTTTATGATACAAAAAAGCAACTTAGTCCAGTGGCAAGGAGCCTGAAATTTTTTCATCATGTCACGGCTTCAAAAGCCATAGAGTACCAACAATTTTATTTTTTGTTCCTTTTCAGTTTTAGTATGTAGAAATAGTTACTCGTTTAATTTTTATCCTCTGATTCTTATCAGTTTTAGCATGTACGATTAATTTTTATCTTATGATTCTTAATTCCTTTAATTTCAATATGATTTCTTAATTCCTTTAATTTCAAATTTAAGTTTTATATTCCAATAATTATCCATTCAACTTCTATCTTATGATGATTTCTTAAATATGTCAATTTCAATATGATTCCTTAAACTCTTTAATTTCAAATATAAGTTTTATATAACTGAACAATTAGTCCTTTTAAATTTCTTTATTTAGCTAACTTGTAATTTAAATTTATTTTCTTAAATCTTTTACTAAAATCTTAGATCAATTAAACTCTTCAAGTTGAAAATGTTTAAGAATACTTTCGTGTTAATAAATAAAATTATTTATAATATATTAGACATTGATTTTCAAATATGAAAATAGAATGTGTTACACAACATTGAAATGTATTATTAATTTGTTTATCATTTTCAATATATATGGTAGCACGATATAACATTTATGTTTATATCTTGTTTTGAGTGGCTCTAATCATCTAAAAATATCATTATAATAATATTAAAAATATAATTTTTTTAATTTTAATCGTCTTTTTACGGTTACAAAATAACCCCTTCCGAACGCTAAATCCTAGCTCCGCCCCTAGTTTGGAATCTTAAGTGCAAGGCTTGAAGCCTGTGACTTCGGCTTCCACTAACTGCACTAAGCCACTAACCCCTCTATCCATGAAATCAGCTAACAACTCTAGCTTAAGACTCTAATAGACTACCTAAACCTAACTTGCCTTCCAAGTTCCAGTGTTCCACAACACATGAAATACGGACTAGACTTATTTGATACAAAGCAGAACTACAAGGACTAAACTTAAAGACACTCAAAACGACACACTTTAACTTTAAACTTCAAATTTCATCCTTCGCGACAAAGCCTCTTCTCTAGCTCCGCCCAGGGTTCGAACTTCAAGTTCAGCAACTTTAACATCCTGATCAATTCGCTTGATTCAAGACACCCCCTAGGCCAGGCAAGAAGAGAGTGAGAGATTCGTTGTTTGACTGAAAGAGAGGAGAAAGTTTGGGTTATTCGTTCTGTAGGCGGGAAGACGAGCACTCTAGTGCAACGTGCTTCGTTTTATTTCAAGGGAGCTAGCTTGGTGATGACTTGAGCCTAACCCCACGCTCGTTCACTTGGCCTTATTCTTCTCGTCCAATTCTTTCCCCAGCTGACTAACACAGAAACAGAGCACAAGCAGAACACGAACAGAGATCCAAGACAAAGCTAATGTCCTCTTTGTACTGTGCGGAAGAAAGTTGTTGGGAAAATCCACTGAACCCCAAACCAGGTCGAGAGCAACAGGACTCTTGTAGTAATTGATGCATTCAAATTCAAGCACAGAGCTCGAACGATGAAAACCACTACGGAAGCACTAACAACAATACTTCAAACGTTCGTACTAAACCGAAACTAGGAAGTAAGTAAATGTAGCCAACGACAACCCAAAAACACTCATTCTTCCCCTAGTAACCAACCTAAAAGTAACAATAGCAAGGAAAAACACATTCATTCGTTCTTCTTCACACTGAAGTAGAGAAGTGCAGCACCCACAATGATCAAGACACCAGCCTTCTGCAGACTAATTGGATTTTTCCAGAGGGAAGCTAGGTTCACTTTGCTGCCCTTGGCCTTCTTGACGTGGTTTTCAATAATTTTCAACTGGCACTGCATATCCATAGCAACCTGATTGAGTCGAGCTAAGATGGCAGGAAGACGATCGACATCAAAGGACTGATCCACTGGCGGCTCACGCCCACGGCGAGCTGAACTGATGGGCGTATCATCCTACACAACAGGAGAGGAGGAAATGAAAACAGTACAAGAAAGTTTGATCTGAAGAGGAATGGTTGTGTTAGAATTCAGAATTTTCCATCCTCAAGTCAAATACTACGAACTCGAAGATAAAGAACACCAAGGATTTTAACGTGGTATCCCTGAAGCTCAGGACTAATCCACGGAAGAGGCTGTGCTGTCCAAAATAGTTCACTGTCGACAAAAGGGATTAACCCTACACAGTTACATCATCCGGCTATGTATAGGGGAATAAACACTAACCTAATAAACTAGACAGCTACGGGATTAAACATAATTACAGAATGGTGCCAAAAACAATATAAATCAACACCTCAATCCCAGAGCTAAGGATGCAATAGTTTGGAAGAACTAATAGAACCAAATTAAGTTGAATAGCTACGGAATTCTGAAATTTGATAATCACTCACTTAACCTACAGAAATGAACAATATAAAATTCAAGACCAAGTTTGGGATGTACTCCTAATATGCATCACTGTGCTTGTTATGATTGCAAATGATTTGTACATATTGATAGATGATTTGTAATTTGGAAGGAATCAGTACCAGCTCTGTCAGGAATGGAACATTTCGGTGCCGGGTCTTCATGTTGCTCACCAGGTCTAACAACCTCCTCAATTGCTGACGTGCAAGCTCCTTATCATCACAGATTTCAAAACGAACAACCCTTCCATTACAGGCCTCCCACAGTTGCTTCAACCCATGAAATTATCATCAGCATACTGCAATGAACTACTACAGTTCGTAGGGAAGCTAACTATGGATCTGGAACATTACCTCAAAACCCTCAGGGGCTTGAACCCTTCGATCGAGGTTCTCCAATTCTGGGCCACTCAGGTGGCGATCCGCTCCCGTCACCAAGCCCACCAAATAGGCGGAAACATCCTCACCAAGCATTTTCTTGATATTCTCGGCGACCGGAACATGAGGTTTGGCAGCTGACAAGACGACCAATATAGCATCGACCCCCTCCAAGGATTTCAAAATGTGTTTGAGGGGAGCAACACCAGCACGGTCGCACACAAAATCATTACCTGTAGGCAACAAAGACCTAGAAAACAGATTCATACAGATAAGCCAAAATCTAAGGTTTCAAGAGCCTAAAAGGAGGAGGGAGCAAGATCTCACCCGGGGTGTCCACGACGGTGACCAAATTGTAGTTCTGCACTTGAGCAGTCAGCACGTTGGCGCGATGCAAGCTGAACATGCCCCCGCACATCCCAAAAGCTTGAGTCTCAAGGATTGCATTCGCCAAGCTGCTCTTCCCTGTGGCGCGTGGACCGACGAGAGCCAGGGTCGTCGGACGTGACTCGACCGAAACCCTCATCGCAGTGTCCATCGTCTGTGGCTGGTGGGAAGCTAAGAGAAGGGAAAGAAAGGCTAGGTTATCAGAGCAGACTGTTTATTTCGAATGCAAATATGCAACAAAACAAAATTGCGGATTTTGTGAGTTTTGTTGTTTTTTTTATTTTTTTACGAAATACACTTCCCTATAGAGCTGTTCTTCGGGAGATTTTGAATATTTCAAAATTCTTGCACTCTCCCTAATTATAGTTAAGAGTAAATTTGTAAGTTCAACTTAGAATTTAAATATCTTCTTACATAAAAATAATGTCATTATCAAGATTTGAACTCGAGTCCTTCAATTTGATAATTAATATCCCTAACCAACTAGACTACAACAATGTTTATATATTTTTTGAATTAAAGAGAGAAAATACTAAAATATCTCAAAATCATAGGACTATCCACCGCAATAATCAATCATCGAATTAATTAATAACTGTAATTATTTACAAAGTGAATCATCATGATATACTTAGCTTTATGAATCAACTAAGTGAGTTTCTCTAATCACACAATTATTCACCAAGAATCAAATAGTACATTTTGAGTTTATGCATGTCTTATAACTTTTACATTTATTAGGTTACATGACTTTGTAGTTTGTAGGAATACAAGGATTGTTTACAAAAGTGCTATACAAAATTTGAAATTTGTGATCTAAGGTTTTGTGACGAGACATTTTTAATGCTATAAGTGAATGACCAAAAATCATTGGCTTGCAATTTTCCTAATGGTTGACAATTGTAAGCATAGAATTGAAAGACTAAATACCATTTACAAATGAGCCAATTATCATTGGCTAAATTTAACAAACAATGGTATGTGTATATACATTGGAAATTAGATGGTACGCTCGATGGATTGAGGGTTATTGCATCTCCTTAGTTAAAAAACATTATCTAGACCATAGATTAATCACGTAACTAAACCCCATATCATAATTCTCTAAATCATAATATAGTGGACATGGTATGTTGTATACATCTTGGCGAATCAGGATCATTGATTATGTTCTTAGTATATGTGATATTAGGGTTTAAGTTCTATAGGTTTAGGATATATGATTTAATTATTTGAAACTTAAACTCCCTTTTCAAATTTCCTGCAATGAGAGGGAAATTAGGAAGAACATTTTTGTCTTCACAATTATCTGTATTTTTTATTTATTTACAGAAAAAGATAGACGTATTGAGATTTGAACCATGGTCACTTCAAACAAAGTGAAGGTTTAAAATCAATCAGACTATGTAGATTTGTTGTATTTTTTTTTAATTAAAAATATATACGAAGCTAAAATATGAAATCACAGAACTTTTCAACAATTAGCTAGCCCAATAAATATTCAGTAAGTACTTATTTGGTGTTTTGAAACTTCGATTTTGATATTTTTTATTTTATTTTAATTATAATTTAATACTTAATTAAAATTTTATCTATCTTATAAATAGACGATAACCATAAATTTCAACCAAAATATTGTTGGTTCAAATATTTCATATCGAATTATTGTATTGAATATGTATAAGCGATATAGAATTCTTAAATTACCATTAATTTTCAGAACTATAGTGAAGCGATCATATCTTTGTGCAAACTATAGGGGACTGGTTCTCTGAAAATTTTTGTCCGGTTAAATACTAAGTTTTGAAACTCTTCCTAGGGGTGTAAGTGGGTCGGTTCATTTGGGTTTAGATATTTTAATCACCTAACTCATATACCACGATTTTGAAAACACTAAATACAAACTCACCCAAAATAATTTAGAATTTTAACTGTTTGTGCCCTCCATACCAAATGAACCAATTTACATGTCGCTTAACTAAGGACGATCTCATTGTCCAATCCAACCATTCTAATGGCAATCCTTAAAAGTAACCCATATTCGTGTTTGTTAACACATGTTTCACATTGTCACTACAGTGACCGGTAACTTCGCTGCAACTGATTCGGTATTGCTCTTCATATTGCCTCCAGATTGATAAACATATAAGGGCCAGCAGTTTTATGACAAAACTCAAAGTGAAGACAACTGATCGTCTGGTGGAATTTTGGCGTTTGCTGGTGTCCATTAATCTAATTGCAAGCATAATGATTGCTAAAATTAAGCTTTCACGCAACATACTGGGAGTTGGGGGTGTGTACTTGGAGTAAAAGTTGATATTGGGTTTGGGAAGGGATTAAGGGAAGTGGTGAGAGGAAGAAATTGTGTTTGGATTTGGTAGCAGGTAAAGTTCATGGTTCGGTTTCTTTTCGTAAAATGCTTTGATTTATTTTAGTTAGAGGTATAATATCATGGTTATGTGGATCAAATGTACAAAAAATGAGCTTGGTGGATGGGAATTCCAACTTAGAAGGAGTGGATTAGATTTTGATAAACTCAAGTTCATGATTAACTGAAAGAATATTTAGATTTAGACTTTGTGGTATTGAGATGTTCATAGAGAGTTTAAAACTGATCCAAGGCCATGGACTGATATTGGTTAGTTGATTGTGATTTTGAGGAAGGTGTATAAAAAGTCATGGAATTAGTTTGCAGCAAGTGAAGGCAGTGAAGAGGCAGTTGGTCAGGGTAGTGATTGAACCAAGGAGGGTATTGAAAGACATAGAAGCAAAATCGGAGCAGTTGAAGAGAGAGAAGTGGTAGATGATCAGGATATTACCGAAAATGGAGAGGATATTGAAGGGCATGGAAGTGAACTAGATCAGGTGAAGGCAGAGAAAGAGGAGAAGAGCATATTGATGGAATTGAAGATGAGTGTTGGTTTTATGAGCTTATTAAAACTGCCCCGAGGAAGATGAGTTGGCCAAATACAAGAAAGAGGATTGAGGAGTTGGAGTTCAAGCTGACAAGAAACTCAATTGAAAGAGAAATTCAGGTTCATGTAGAGAAGGTCCATCAAAGTAGCATAAATGGAGTTGCAGAAAGAGGATTAGAAATTGAATTTTGGTTTAAAACATATACGTCGAGAGATTGAAGATGGAGGGGATAAAAAGTTGGTTGTACAACGAAGAGTGGAAACTATTGGATCTTTAGGTTTTACGGTTGTTGCGACTACCACAACCTATGTTTATGTTAAAACGAGGAATCATTGATTGATTTACTAAAGTTAAGGTCGATTCACTATTCAAAAACTGGAACCTGTAGATAAGGAGTGTCTAATTTTGTGCGTCATTAATTTGATCGAGTCTATTAGTATATTGGATGTAACTCTAATTTAGTTGAGTTGTTAGCATATGATTTACTTGAATCAACAACTCTTCATTTTTGTTTTTTTTATAAATCCCTTTCTTTTTTTATTAATGAATGTTATTCATAGAGGAGAGCTTTGAACCATTTATGTGGGATTGTGAGGTTTCATTTCAGTTTCAAACTATCTATGGATCGTGTGAGAATTCCAATGAGCTTTTATATTATATATTTCTGGACCATCTATTAACCAATATCATTTTAATGGGGCTCAATTATCATTATGAAAATGAGATTAATGATACATTTTTATATTTTAAACGAGGATGGTATTTTCCTGAATGTTCGACCTATATATTCATTCTTTATGTAGAATCTCGATTGAATAATTTTCAATAAATTTAAACAAATTAATAGAATTAAACATAACATAATAATATAAATATTAAAATATGAACATTCCGGCCAACGGGTCGGATTATAAGCTAGTTAATAGCTATAATTATTCACGTTATGACAAATATAGTCAAATTTTGAAAAATACACTCATAAAGCCATCTCGTCCGAAACTTTAACGTGAATCTCACGATTGCTGACTGGACTAATGGATGTTTGCAACATGGCCTAGGTTCATCTACGTGGCAGTACAAGTGAATAAAAAACAAAAGAAAATTGAATTAAAAAATGAAATGAAAAAATAAGATGTATTAAAAACCTTCCCCTGCATTTTCCCCGACCTTCCATTTCTCTTCTTCCTCTTCCTCTTCGTACACCTTGACAGATTAATGAACTCAACCGAGCTCAAAAGACCACCATCCCCTCCATCGATCAACCACTTTATGCACTCCATATCACCCATGGACGGCGGCGTCGCTGGTTGCAGAAAAAAAGGATGGAGTTCGACGCGGCGGCTGCAGCAGGAGAAGCGACGATTATGTAGTCATCTCCGCTTCGCCCTAGCTCCGCCTTCGATTCCCACTGCTCTGCCAGATCCTTCTGGGTTTTAGGATCTAACAGATCCTTTGGGTTTCTGGGTTTCAGATCTAACAAATGCGCTTCATATTGAGGTACTGGAGCCTCTCCCTACTCTCCGATCTGGAGGTTCGCTGCAGCGTTTGGGGTTAAGGTAGAGCGACACGAGTGACTAGAGGGTTTCTATGTTGTTTGAAGTGGGAGGAATCGATCGTCGGAGGTGGATTTTTGGTATTCCATATGCAGGGAAAAAGAAAGATCAGGAGCGACCGATTTTCGATAGAGAGGATTAGGTAGCCCATCCACAAGCTTGGTGGCGACTGCGGCGGTGGTCGGGGGAGACAAAGAGCTCGAGGGGAGCAGGGCAATCGCTACAGCTGAAATCCCCAATTGAGGAAAATATTAATAAATTTCAAAAAATATTTTGTAATAAATAATATTTTTAATTTGACGTGGCATGACACGTGGGATGACAAGGCGACCAGGAGTTGATGTGGAAGTTGACAAGGCGCCACCTAGCTAGTTGTTAACGGAGGTGAACGGTATCTCTAACTCTGTCAATATTTTAACGAAAAAATGACTAAATTAGTCACACAAGTTTTAAAATGTGGCTATACCTGTGTATTTCTCAAAATTTGGCTATTATTGTCACAACGTACAAAGTTATGGCTATAGGTGTCAATCGGGCGGGTTTGGGTCGGGTTCAGTCGGGTCGCGGGTTAATCGGGTTACGGTTCAGGCGGGTTGCGGGTCAAGCGGGTTCGGGTTAACCGGGTTGCGGGTTGATCGGGTTGCGGGTTAATCGGGTTGCAGGCAAATCGGGTTCGGGTTGAACGGGTTGCGGATCAGTCGGGTTTCGGGTTGATCGGGTTACGGATCAATCGGGTTCGGGTTGATCGGATTGCGGGTTACAACAGGTCGGGTTGCGGGTTGTTCGGTCCAAACCATCGAGTTTTTTTTATAATTAGTTATTACATATATTTAAGATGTACATTCACAAGTTAAATTAATTGTTAAAATCAAATTAATTACTAAACTATAAAAACCAAAATATCTATCATAAAGCATAACCATGAAGAAACCCTAAACCCTAACCCTATAACACCATTTTATATCTGAAACCTAAAACTAACCTTAACCATCAACCATACATTATCCTAAATCACAACATTAAGTAATTAACCCTAAAACTAACCTCAACCCTTAACCATAAGTCAATAACCCAAACAGGCAAACACTGAACTCTAAACCATGACCCTATACGGCTATACCCTATACTATAGTTATAACTTATATGTTATGAAATTGTTGGTATAAGCTATAACATATGTTATGTGAAGAATGTAAGTTGAGTCAATTTTATATTCGGTTATTGGGAAGCATACCTCCTATGACTCCAAACTCTAAACCACGAGTCCACTACCATATACCCTATACACTAATCTTAAACCATGAACTATAGTTATGCACTACAGAAAATCAGGTTTCTAGTCACGAGATCTTATTCACGGGAACTTTTCCCGTACCCAGAAGTACACTGTCAGTCACTGAAAAATTTCATGTACTTACTTGTATAGTTTTAATCACAGGAATTAATTTACCTATTTTCAATTATCATTTCCCGTAATTAATTGTTAGTCACTGTTAATTACCGTGAACAATAAGAAAATTTATTATTGTAAATTTTAGATGATAATGATAATGATTTTCATTAAAAATATGATAGGTAATATATTTATTTACTAAAGTTTAAAGATATGTGACAAAACCTCAATATTTGATAATATAATTTTATGTAAAAGGAATTTTATATAAAAAAATTAGCTCCCTCATTTTTTATCACACAACTTCAAATATTTTGTTTTTAAATTTTAACGTGGTTAATTGTAATAAATAGTCGAGACTCTAATTTTGCGAGCCAAAAATTTCAGCAGATTGCAAAGTGCAAACGCAATTTTGGCTACCGAAAATTTGGACTCCATTTTGGCATGCCGCATTTTTTTCCCTCCTCTATTTTTGCTGCAAAAATTTGGCCGCCATAATTTTACCTCAACTGAAATTTTGGCTCCACAATCATCAAATATTGGCGCTCTCTCCATCAATTTCTTTTAGACATAAAAACAAAACTAGAAAAATGCACCAAAGCTTTACCCTTTTCACTTTCCCTTTCCACTGCACCCTTTCGCTTCGTTCTCTCACCTCTGTTTGTTGATAGAAGAGAATGGAACCAAACCTAATCTGAAACCCACCTGTTCCCCTCAATAATTTTGGAGTCTACCAATTTTGTTGTCAAAAATAAATTGTTACATTAGAAATTAAAGGTGGCTAATCATTAATCACGGTAATGAAAATGAAAAACAGATAAATTATTTCCGGTGACCAGAACTATACAATTAATTACAGAAAAGTTTCCAGTGATTATTAGTTATTTTTTAGTACGGCAAATATTTCCGTGAATAAGATACGGTGATTAGAAACATGTTTTCCTGTAGTGTTTGGACCAATATTGGGGGTTAAAAATGATTGTTTCCTCACATATTTGGGGTTTATAATCAAATTAAGATGTACATTTGAATATGATATATTTAAGATGTACACACACAAGTTAAATTAATTAATAAACTATAAAAAACAAAATATCTATCACAAAGCATAACCATGAAGAACCCTAACCCTAAACCCTAACTATGTTATATACAGTTATTACTATTAACGTACTATTAAACGTAGCATTACCTAAGAGACGAAGTATAATACCCGTAAGTATTTTATACGTAACTTTCTCGTACCATATTTTACTAACTATGTTATATATTAAGTGAATTTTATGTATAAGTTGACATAAAAAACATTAAGTGAATTTTATGTATAAGTTGACATACAAAAACATGTGAAAAAAATATGTCTTTACTGGGCTTTGAATCGTGTCCCTCGGATGGGAAAGACCAGCACATAAGCCAACTAGTCCACGTAATTGATTTATTACAATTTGAACTTGTTGTTTATTTGATTCAACTAAAAGGCAGAGAGACCATAACGTATTATGTGATTCAATTTACCGAGACAGTGAGACTATTATGTGATTCAATATAATGACAGTTGTCATTTGTCAACACAAAGTAAACCTTTGTTCTTGGTGGGAAAGATGACAAAATAATAGGGCAAGTCAAGTAAACTTTATATATATTATTTACATATAATATTTATGCACAAAAACATATTATGTAGTATTATTCGTGCCAATCGGGCGGGTTCGGGTTGGGTTAATCGGGTTCGGGTTAGTCGGGTTACAGGCCAAGCGGGTTGCGGGTCAAGCGGGTTGCGGGTCAATCGGGTTCGGGTCAAGCGGGTTGCGGGTCAAGCAGGTTGCGGGTTATGCGGGTTGCGGGTCAAGCGAATTGCGGGTCGGGCAGGTTGCGGGTCTTTGACTTTTAGTCCAATCGGGTTGCGGGCGGGTCGCGGATCGGGTTGGTTGGGCGGGTTACTCGGGTCGGGTCATGTTTTGACACCTATAGTTATGGCTATGAAAGTGTATTTTGCCTTTTTTTAAAGGGTGCAAGTAGGGCTGCAAATGAGCCGAGTCGAGTCGATTTTTACCCCAGGTTGAGCTCGGCTCGTTAATCAACGAGTCGAGCTCGAGCTCAGCTCGCTTATTAACGAGTCAAGTTGAGTCGAGCTCGAGCTAGCTTGTTTACTAAAATCTTAACTTTTATTTGGTACTTCATTTTGTTACACATATGATTTATTTTGTTAGCTGATCTCATATTATACTTTGTTGGTATCATATATAATTTAGTTAATAAATTTTAACTACTCCAAATCATGTTATTTCATAGTATCTAAGCAATCTATGATACATAATTTCTTTTTAAAGTAGAAAATAAGATATATTTGTTCACATACTCAACGTGTTAAACTTTACATATGGTGAGATATATAATTTAACAACCATATGAATTAAAATCATAAGATATAGATTGATTCGTCCATAATTCGGTAATCGAGTTGGCTCTCTAGCCACAGGTTGAGACATATCATGAGCTCTAAATGAGCCAGCTCATGAGTTTAGCTCAACAAGCCACCGAGTCGAGCTAGCTTGCGAGCTTCGCGAGCTGAACAAACCTTAGCTCATGTGAACGAGCCGAGTTTCGAAAGAGCTTTTCTCGAGTCGAACGTCGAGTCGCTCGCGAGCAGCTCGGCTCATTTGAAACCCTAGGTGCAAGCACCTCTACCCTCAAATTAATTAATTTCATGGGCTACAAAGTCGTCAACGCTTAATATCCGGATCCATACAGTTTGCAAATGTTTTCCGATGAGTAAACTCTTGTGTTTGAACTCAATAAATACACCTTGACTTTTAGAACAACGACAATAGGGTGTTTTATGTTTTTGATGCTTTTTTCGGAGAGCTTCGAAAACTAAAGGGTGCGACTAATTTGCAGAGAAAGGATAAATTTTGACATTGTGTGTCAAATGTTTGGTTGTGGAACCCTTTTCCAGTCTTCGATTCTCCTATTTATTGCCACCAGATGTAACTGCCTCGGTAACCATCTTGGTAACTTCTAGCTGGCCTGTTGCTCCAAACCGCCTCGGGGTCCTCCTTGCCGCCTTGGTGACCAGTTGGTAACCGTAGCTTTGTGGACCCTTGTCCCGTATTGGGGCTGGTTGGTACTTGATGGTCTCGATGTCGGGCCAGGTTGGTGTTGGGCCTTGTCGCCCTCTCATGACTGGATGGGGTTGAGGCATTTTGCATTAGCCTTCATGATGAAGTCTTGATCGCACCCTCGACGGCCTTGAATGACTCCCCGCTTTTGTCGTCTTGAGACAGCTACCACCTTTTGCCACCAAGTCCTCCTCGTCGACTTGTTGGTGGCTACCAAGCCGTCTCATCTGCTTGATACCTTTTGGCATGCCACCAAGGCCATTTAAAAAACTTGACACCCTCTGCTACAAAGCCAACCCAGTAGACTTGGTCTCCATACTTAGTTTTTGTAGCCTCGTCAAGTTGGTAAGTTGCACCCTATCAACTTGGTACCCCGTTAGGGGGCTACCAAGCCCGTCTTTTTACGTCCTCTCCATATGCCCCCCCCCCCCCAAAAGGGGCTTTGCTGTATCGGAAACTCCAAGCCAAGTTTGAAGCACCAACTTGAAATTGTGTTTGGTTTGAAGCACCAACCGAAAAACTAAAACTCAGTTTGAAGCACCAACTGAAAACTAAAACCTTAACGATCGATGTCGCTGAACAAACTGGAATTATTATTAAGCAATACTCTTCTTCCTTTCTCTCCCTTAAACACACGGCCCATAGAGCCTATTTATAATAAACAACCCAAGCTATCTCTACGCACACCAAACGGACAAGGAAAGTAAACCAACTATGAAAGCAAATACGAAACCAACTAAGAACACAAACAAGTACTAATCCGATTAAGAAAAGGAAGACCACAGCTCTTGCGTCAGGCCCCTCCACTTGGAATGACACTCGTCCGCGAGGGTTCTGGGTAGAGAGGTTCATACGCCGGATAGTAGGGAAAGATGTCGGCCATGTTGAAGGTATTGGAAATGCCGCATGAAGCGGGAATCTCAAATTCTCAATCTTGTAGGCATTATTGTTGACGCGATGAAGTACTTTATATGTACCATACTTTCGTGGCTGAAGCTTGCCAGACGCTCCAACAGGAAATCTCTCCTTACGTAAAAATATCATAACATCATCCCCCCTCATTGAAGATCTTATCACGACGAAGCGCATCTGTGGCAGTCTTGTATTGAGTTGCAGTCTTGTATAAAAGAGAAGTACTTCTTTACTCACTTTTAAAGACATCCCAAAGGTATGCCCATCTTCAATTGTCAGCCCCTTTAAAGGCTCATTCCCTGGTGGTCTTTCGTCCTTGGTACCCCATGGTATTAAACGATATTTCTTCCCGCCATGTCGAAATTGATAGGTATTCTTGCACCCATCATAAATTGCAGCGACATCAAACTGCCAAGGATGTCCTAAGATAAGATGGTAGACATCCATATCCATGATATCACAGTTGATGTTATCCTTTTAGTTGCCGATAGAAAAATTGAGAGAGCATTGCTCAGTGACTTTAATTCACCGACTGATTTGATCCAACCCAAAGAGTAGGGCTTTAGATGACGTTTAGTTTGAACCCCCAAGAGCGTAACCACATTTTGACTAATGACATTTTCTTGACTTCTATTTTTGATGACCACGTTCCAAATCTTGTCATTGATGGTGCGATTAGTCTTGAAAAGTCTACGGCGTTGGGTTTCACGTTCTTGTTTTGGTGCAATGAGGATTCTTTGAAAAACACAAGTTGAGAGTTCCTCCTCTTCCTCTTCCAAAGCTTCATCAGGTCCATATTCCTCCTCCTCACTTTCCTCTTCCTCCGAATCATGGTCGACGACCGCTGTTAAGTTGACATTCTTTCTTTTTGGGCATTCACTAAATTTGTGACCCGGTTGGTTGCACCTGTAACACTTCCCAACGGAAGGCCTAGCGTAAGGATTTGATTGCTTATTACTTGCATCCCCATCCCTTTTGGAAGTCACTTTTTCAGGGGCCAATTGCTTTGCGGTGTTCGAACTTGAAGATGGATTTGGGAATTTAGCATTATTTCCCTCAACCTCTCGAAAGTTCCGACGATTATTATCCTTCTTGATATGATCCCAATTGGCCAGCTCTACACGTTTAAATTACTTGACGAAAAAGCTATCGAAGTTGGGAAAAAGAAAGGCAGAATTTGGTTATT